TTTTATTCTTTTGCATGCACAAAAATAATACACAACATTGTTTTCGTGCTACTCAAATGTATAAGCGAGTCATTAAATACGAACCAATCAAATCGGCCAGTTTATTGATTGAGCATTGTGAAGAATCGTTTTGCATGTAAACCCATATTAATTATATCTAGATTTTGATACAAAAAAAAGATATATTCATGCGCAGCAAAGCAGAGAGATAAAAAAAATTGTCCATGGGTAAACACTTTTAAATTTAGGGTATATGTTTGCAAGTGGGTTACATGTCATATTTGAACAGCTCAATCATCGGTTCCACTGATGGTATGTGTGTGTTTCTATTTGCTTTTTAATATGACGCTCATTCATTTTTATTGTTTCGTTTTAATTTGTGCGAAAGATAAATGTTGTGCCGTGAGAAATGCCCAAATAAGTTGAAAAAAAGAATTGCCTCCACAGCAAACATCGCAGCCGCGGAACTTCTTAAATATTTTAATTGTTGCATTTCAATTATGGATCATCAATGTTGCGATGTTGTTCAATATATGTTGAATATATTTACTTTTTGTTCGTTTCTTGTTCGTGAGAGCGAAGTGAATTACGCAATACCGGCTCGGCACACATTCAAAGGATGGATTTAAAGTTAACAACAATAAAAAAATACTCTCACAGATCTAAAAGTAAATACTGCATTGAAAAACGGTCGAAATTGTGAGCCGCATCTACATGTATATGCCTACTAAAATAAGGTCCGCCCACTTTTTTTCCATTGTATGGTTTCACACGTACATATTTCAACAGCGACAACAACATGCATGTACTATGAATAGAAGCCTACAGAAGCCTTTAGTACTATTCACAATGCTCATGGATGTGTGTTTTCATGCCACTCTAACTTTCATGTCTTTTGTTTGCCATTCGGTGTCTCACTGTGTGTGTGTGTTTCTTTTTCTTTTCGTGTTGCTTATTTTATAATTCAAATAACTCGAAGAACGTCAGAACATTCTTCTACATCACAATAAATATAATGCTCAAACACAGAGAATTTTTTCATTAAATAATCGCAAATGGTTTTTCAGATAGAAATAATTTGACGTAATAAGCTTTACTATGGAATTTCATGACGAAAATTATCGTGTAAATAAATAAATGAGAAAAAAACCTCGTGTTTTGACGTTAAAACAAAACACTTTTTCTTATAAATATTTTAAATGAGTTTTTCACAGCTATGACACATTGTAGAGTAAATCAATTCGATTTTATGTTACAGTCAAGTTCGATTATGGTTTATTTTAACTTTTCAAAATACAATTTATGGTAATTTTTTACAAAAAGAAAGTAAACTATTTAAAAAAATCAAAAAATCCATCGAAGAGGATGAAAATTGTTCAAACATAGCGCCATCTCTTGGATGGAATCACACCTATATTGATAAAGTTCCCATATCGGATCATGACTTGAATCAAAATCATTCTAATTCCATTGTGAATGTCCAAAATAGTCGTTGCTCATCGGTGAATTTTATTATCCTCGAGTTTTTATCAATTTGTTTTATAAAGTGTTGAAAATGGCTATAAAAAATGAATCGATATAATAATAATTAATCGATTTGCCGTCTTTTCCTGGATTGAAAGCATCTATGACCATCAGAGCTAAGAATAAAAAGCATACAAACGACCACAAAATATTCTCATTGAATTCATCGATTGAATTTTATTATAACAATGATTTGTCGCAAAAAATAAGTCAAAATCGAAGAAAATATGTCGCCAGTTGAAAATACTACAACAAAAACCGACAAAAGGCATAACAAAAAAACAACGTATGATAGCTGGCAATGAATGACGCACACAGGACATAGAGTATGAACTCTGTAACCGTATTTGATAGCAATATGTCGATATATCGGTTCGTATTATTGAAAAAAAAAGACTATGAAAAAAATTAAATAACAATCGTACAAAATAGCTGGCGGATCAAAATGAGATATTGTTTGAATGGAATATTTTTTCATTTTAAGACGTTTCCAAATATTTTACGATCGATGAAATTTGAATAAAATGATTTCATTGCAATTTGAATGTTACGACTTTTTGCTGCTCCAATTTTCCAGATCGAAACTAGTTATAACTAAACAGAACACTGATATAAATTAAGTGAATAAACATTTGATTGAAACTGAAACGACTGGCGATTGAGGTATTTTGCAATGCATATTACATGAACGGGCAATGTAATCAATTTGACACTTAATCGGTTGACTTTTAAATGAGCACATTATTTCATGTATTTATTTCCTTACGTAGCCAAACCGTATCAAAATCAGAGCGTGCAATCACCGTATCTGGCCACACCGTCTATTGATTACAAAACGAAAATCATGAAAAAATGCTTGAAAATGTGAACGGGGTTCTGGATTCCGTATTTAATCGATGCTAAGGGAGCACCGTGAGATTTAACTGCGACCATTGAACACTCATAAATACGATGATCAGGGTTTATTCTTCACGTGATTTCTTTTCAGTATATTTTATTTCCTGCAAACTAAACAGAATTAGATCATTTTTTGTTTTGTTTATTTTTACGTCAATCAGACCGTGTAAAATGCAATAAAAAAATTATTGTATAATTCATGGTCAGATGATTGTGTTTTGAATACATGTCAAGTTCAAGATCTTATAAGAGAAAAAGGCCGCAACTCTTTTTAGTAAAAAAAAAGTATTTACAAATCGCGATTTTTCAAAGGGAATTCCATTCAAATGACCCCGGGTATGTTATTACGGGATTGTATCAAAATTTGTTGACAAATTTCAGTCATTGATAAAGTAGAGCACGATAAATTGTATTAAAACATTCGGAATGGCAAAACAAATTCGTCATTGATCTTGCAGTCATGCCAAGAAATTAGTAACATTGCAACTAGGAATGAAAAGCATTCCGATTGATAACCCCAAAATTGAACTTTTACCACAAGTGAAAGGAAGTAAAAAAAACCGAAATGTTCAAGATTCTTGAATGAAAACAACAACAACAGCCATGACGTGTTCGTTCGGGAAGCACCAAATTTATTACCATCTTTATTTGATATTATCGAAATGAGAGAAGTATAGAACGTATGATCAGAGAATTTCGGAAATGACGATGATTTTTTTTTTTTGTTCGTGCAACAAAGCTACACATACATCGAAGACACACGTGTAATTGGAACTTTTGCATATGTATTGAAATAATTTACTTCCGAATCGCGAGCGAGTGTGGATTTGAGGCAAAGCGACAACGATTTTAAAAAATCAACACTCTGATTCTGGTGTCCGGGTGTCTACCGTTTGTGCGAATGAAATTTACCAAAAATTCAGTAGTCACAACGACGACACACGTTCAAATGTATACGAATCGAAAGCAATGTGTGTACGTTTTGGGCGATATTTTTTTTGTGTTGAGATTATAACGGTATTGGCACATATCATGATGAGATATGGAATGTATCAACGCACGTGTCTTGCATATCGTGCTGAAATCACACATATGTTTTGACAAAAATTGATTACACTTATATACTTGACGCGTATCATACGATACATATGAGTTTACGGGCAGATTCAATTTTAGTACAAGATGATGAATTTCAACAATTTTTTTTCATTTTTTTGAATTTTACGCCTTCTTCGGTTCGTTTAAATTCATAACTGATTTCAAAAGACAAAGTACATACAAATATAGAAATTACGCTAAATACAATGGTATTTTGATATAAAACGTAAAATTAAATGAAATGAAACGTTAAAAAGTTTGCAAGTAAAGCAAAGGTGTTATTTAAATTCGGTTTCAAAGTTGTTGTTAACGCTTTTAAGTAATGAAATATCAATTGCGTGGTTTGTCTCCAACATATGTTTTGCTTTATTTGGTTTAATTTTTCGGCGAATTGAAACGAATTATAACACGTTTCCTATGTATTTATTGCATTTTATACATTGCATTTTTTTTATTGCATTTTGACGAAGTTAGCTTAGCTATCGAAATGTGTGAAACTCAATAAAGTGTAAAAAATAGCCGAAACTCATAATCTTTTACTTAATATAAACTGCACGAAAATAAATCATATTCAATTTATACAAATGACCATTTTGCAAAATAGACGGATTCCATTAAATTCATTTTAATCATCGCGGAAAAGTACTTGGCATTACATGTTTTGATTCAGTTTTTTTTTTCCACTTCCATATTCTCAGAAGCGGTTTATTTTGCTTGTGATAAGAGCACCGAAAATATTATGAATAAAAGTAAATAAATGGGCTGAATGTTCCAGTAGGCATGTTTGTATTAATTAACATCAACTAAATAAATAATGAGTAACATGCCAGTTCCATTGGGAACTTTCGAGTGCATTCATTCAAAGAATGTTTCGTCCGATGGGTGCTATTGTTAACTGGGAAACTTTCATATTGATGAAACGAATAGAAAACCTTTCATATCTCAATACGAACAAAAACAAAAGCCGATAATTTTTGGACGCATTATTATCAATTTGTGCGCAAAGATGAACCATTACATTCAACATACAATGAAACAAAACCATATCGATTCTATGTTATAGGCGATTATCAAAAAAAAAAAATTGTGTCATTGTATTTGCATGTGGTGTTATCAATTCGAAAGGCTAAATGAGTGAAAATTCAACCGGCACACACAATCGCCTGATACAAACAAAACACAATTTGTTAGTCGATACCAATACAGTGGGAATAACGTATCACGCGTCCAGCTGTGATTTGAGTGTGATACAGTGCAGTTTGTTCGTGCGCCATTTGAGAGACAATTTTGTTGATGCACATTCTCCTTTGTATTAGATTATGATCGTGTTTTTCTCTTCCTTCACATTAAATTATTGATTTCGTTTTTGTTACAAAGACAAGACAAATTCAGTGTATGGTGACTGTGTATGTGTTTATAAATCTGTAGAATGTATAGATCGGTTTTTGTGTGCCAATTTTTAACTGTGAAATCATTATCACTTGTCGCTCTAACGTAGTATTGTATGCAATACATGCGTCGTCTTTGTTGTTTGTCTATCGGCTATAATCAGTGATCGTTAATGTCCTTTTTAACATCACGCCAATTTTGCTCAGTTTAATTATGTCGCTTCATCTATAAACATCGCATAATTATTCGACTCATTTATTTCCTCGTACGACACCGAAACCAATTTCTACTTTGCAAATTTAAACTTTGCAATTTTCATTGAAGAATTTGAATCAAATGTTTAAAGTGCTCGATGATCGATTTTAAAAAAACGTTCGCAAATCCCTTCGAAAGTTTGTTAAAGGATTAAGAAAAGAAAAAAAAAAAAATAATAATTGAACATTAAACGGACAACATTTCATTTTTTTAAAGAGTGAATTGTGTGCCATTGAATATTTAAAAAAACAAATTGAACGACGACACTCAGACGAGAAAGATGAGTGAACCACAGATTACAGTAACGCATAGTGAGCCAAATATAAAAGCTAGTTTGATCGTTGTATCGAATCGTTTGCCATTTGTGCTGAAGAAAAATCCAAAAACTGGTGAACTCTCACGTAGTGCCAGGTAAATTCCAAAAATAAAATCCAATCAATTTCAACATTTATCTATGTGTCATATATTAATTATAAGAATTTGTCTAAACAAAAAAAAAATCGATTATGAGGAACAGATATGAATAATACCGATAGTTAGTTTATCTAGAGAATTTCCATGAATGCATTTATGATCAAAAAATGAGATAAAGAATCCTGGTGATATTACGTATTACAATGCGTCTTATCTATGAACGATCACGCTCTCTCTTCTCGCCTCTCTGTCTCTATTTCTCTCTGTCGCTCGCACGCTAGGCTTATCCAAACCGTACGGTTTTTTTTTTATTTCCTCGATAAAAATAGCTTCGAGTTTAAGGTCGCAATAAATTGAGCGCGTATATTTTCAAAGATGTGGTGCAGTGTATGAACTCATTCCCTTGTGGAAAAAAAAATGACTGACTGACTATAAATTAAGTCAATTTTAATCACTTTTATTCGGTTAAAATTACCAATAGATGATTGAAATCGAATATAGTCGGTTATGTTTCAGAGTTAATCAAAAGTGATTATAGTCAACATAGTTGACAAAAGTCAATTCCATATACTTATAGTTAACCGTAGCTAACTATGATCACAATCGACATTTCTCAACTCAAATTACACGAAGACGCATATAGTCACTTATAGTTAACTTTAGCTGGCTGAAATATCAGCCATTTTTTTCCCAAATTAGTCAATTTTTAGTCGAATATGAAGTCGAAATATTTCCACAAGGGTTTGTTTTCAATATTGTTATTGTAATTCAAAGCGCCGTATGGAAAAAACGTGATATCTTTAGGGTGACCTATAAATCTAGGCGTATCAGACACCAATTTAAGCAATTGAAAAACAACCGAAAAAAAAACAAAAATATCTATATTAATCGTAATGTTATACATTTTATTTGCAGTGCCGGTGGTTTAGTAACAGCTGTAGCTCCGGTCGTTATCAAAGGTAATGGTTTGTGGGTTGGATGGTCTGGACTTCATTCAAAAGAACCATTGACCGAGATTCCCGAATCGGATCCCAGTGATCAAACACCCACCGCTGGTCTCCGCTCAGATCAAGTACGTATATTATGTACGCAAATCGTATTATTTCAACGAGTTTATAGCCTTCATCATTTCAACAGAATAAAAAATAAAATAACATAAAAACAAAAACGATGTAAAAAGAGAATGTAATTTGCGATTGCGGAATTTGTTTTTGTCTGAGAGTTGATGATATTTCGTTTAATCTTTGAACTAATCTGCCAATTGAATCGAAACGAAATGATTAGTGGTAAATATTGTTGATTGTTGATTTAATGCAATTAGAAATGTGAACTAAATAAGATTTTAATGTAAATAGCAATGGGGAATACAAGCATGTGGTGGTATGTCGGTTCAATTTAATCGCTTCACTTTTTTTCCGTGTTCAATGTTTCGTTTGATTGGCAATGATGTAATTTAAACTGTGAACTACATTTTTTTTGTATTTTCTCTCTCTCTCTCGTTCAGTCCTTTTAATATCGTCGCCAAATGATCAATAAGACGTAGACATTTATGAATTTTATAACCATTATTTCTAACGTCATTTCAGAACGGTATGAATTACACAAACAATTTACCAAATACTGTCTGTTTTCTATTTGTCTATTGGCGTCAAAGACTTGCTCATTATTTGAGTTTATTATAATCTTCTATTTGCTCGTCGTGAACTAAGTACCAAAGAATAAAAAAAAACTCACAAATCATGCTTCAAAATGATAATGAAGCGGGTGAATTTGACATAAAACGCATGTTAAAACTATCAGTATTTTTTGGATAATGCAACATGAACGTGTTGAATGAACTTTAAATTGATTGTTTGTATAAACGGCAATATATTCTTTGCTTATTTAATTTGATATTTGAGGAAGCAAAAATGAAACAATTTCAATTAATCATGTTTGTACTGAATATGCAGAAAATAAACGAAGATAGCTTGCGTAAACAAGCTGCGACAACGACAACGGCCACGTTGGAAAATCAATGCGAGATGAATGGCCAAAACAAAAACAACCGAACCGAACAAGGAAAAATGAATTCAAATTGATAAAATGTTATCAATTTAAAACAAAAATCAAACATACACACGCATGCACACATACGTTCGCGTGCCCGACCAACATTGATCAATCTTACCGAACGGTTGAAGAACCGTTTTTTTCTTCTCGTAAAAGTATCAAATAGTCGGGGGTCAGCTAAAAAAAGTCACTAGATTATTCCATATTAATCAATTTAATGTGACTGTAGACACTGTGGACATTATATTTGCGGCAACTTCTTTTTTTCTCTCTCTCTCTCTCTCTCTCTCTCTCAATACTACTGAATCAATAGCGATGTATTTTGAAACAGCTCGTACATTATAGACGCGTCAGTGAACTGTACAACCTGCGCCTGAAACCGACAGACACACAATCGATTATTCTAGACACGCTTACACGCACACATTCACATCCCATATTATGTTAACCATGTAAATGAGATCTTCTCATTTGCCCCTTGATCGCGAATTTTTTTTTCTTTTCGACATCGTTTCGGTTTTTAAAAACAAAATCAGTTGTAAACAGAAACTTACGCAATTCGAAGCATCTTTTTTATTTATTTATTTTTTCTTCTGGGTATGATTTTTTTCTTGCGATAGGTGGTTTGCGTGGATGCCGATCCTGCTGACTTTGACTCATACTATAATGGCTGTTGTAATGGTACATTTTGGCCACTTTTTCATTCGATGCCCGGTCGTGCATCATTCTCCGCCGACGATTGGAGAAATTATGTAAAAGTCAATAAGCTTTTTGCAATGAAAACAATTGAAGCACTGGAAAAGTGTCACAAACGACGAACAAATCAAAATATACCGATCGTATGGATTCATGATTATCAATTGATGTTGGCTGCCAATTGGGTTCGTGAGGCAGCTGAAGAAAGAAATTTACCATGTCAGTTGGCATTCTTTTTGCACATACCTTTTCCACCATGGGACATTTTCCGTTTATTCCCATGGGCCGATGAAATTCTACAGGGAATACTGAGCTCTGATATGGTTGGCTTTCACATTCGTGATTATTGTTTAAATTTCGTCGACTGCTGTCAACGGCATTTGGGTTGTCGTGTTGATCGTAAAAATTTATTAGTCGAACAAAATGGTCGTTCAGTTCGAGTTCGGCCACTTCCAATTGGTAAGCTGTCTATTTTCATTTGAATTGTTCTAATTTTGTACGGATGAAACATTTTTTTCATATTTTTTTTTGTAATTTTTTCTATTGTAAAACAAAGGAATTCCATTTGATAGATTCGTCGAATTGGCCAGAAATGCTAAAAAAATCTTCAAAACTAAACAAAAGATCATTCTTGGCGTTGACAGGTTAGTGAAAAGTAGTTAAAGAGTTGTTTTTTTTTCACAGATGATTTAATTGTGCTTCGTTTTGTCTTGATACAGATTAGATTACACGAAAGGTTTAGTAAATCGTTTAAAAGCGTTCGAAATTTTATTAGAAAAGCATCCAGAGCACCGTGAACATGTTAGTTTATTACAAATTTCGGTTCCGTCACGTACCGATGTCAGCGAATATCAGCAATTGAAAGAAGAAATGGATCAATTGGTCGGTCGTATCAATGGTCGTTTTACAACAGCAAATTGGTCACCGATTCGTTATATTTTTGGTTGTGTTGGACAACAAGAGTTGGCCGCCTATTATCGTGATGCTGATGTGGCTTTGGTCACTCCGTTACGGGACGGTATGAATTTGGTGGCCAAAGAATTTGTTGCATGTCAAATTAATCAGCCGCCGGGCGTTTTGATTGTATCACCATTTGCTGGCGCTGGTGAAATGATGCACGAAGCATTGTTGTGCAATCCATATGAAATCGACGAAGCGTCGGAGGTGATTCATCGTGCATTAACGATGCCAGAGGATGAACGATCACTGAGAATGAATCGATTGAGACGACGTGAAAAAGAATGTGATGTTAACTTTTGGATGCGATCATTTTTGAAAGCGATGGGTTCGATCGAAGAGGATGATGTGGGTGTGACAACAATGCAACCAGTTTCAGTTGATGATTTCGATTATTTACTCAATTATATTGGTTATAATCAAAAATTGGCATTGCTTCTCGATTATGATGGTACTTTGGCACCGATTGCACCACATCCTGATTTGGCAATTTTGCCACACGAAACGAAAAATGTGATTCAACGATTATCGAATCATTCAGATGTATTTGTTGCTGTAATCTCTGGCAGAAGTGTCGAAAATGTTAAGAAAATGGTTGGAATCGAAGGAATCACATATGCTGGTAATTATGGTTTGGAAATTCTACATGCTGACGGCAGTAAATTTGTTCATCCATTGCCAATGCAATATGAAGATAAAGTTAGTGATTTACTCAAAGCACTCCAAGAATCGGTAGGTTTGGCAAACATTTCATTTTCGATTGAACTTTTAAAAAAAAATATTCAATTTTCGCACAGGTTTGTAGAGATGGTGCTTGGGTCGAGAATAAAGGTCCACTGTTAACGTTCCACTACCGTGATACACCAAATGAATTAAGACAAGAATTGGTGGAAAAAACTAAACAAATTATTGAATCGTTTGGTTTCAATGCAACCGAGTCACAGTGTGCTATTGAAGCAAAACCACCTGTACAATGGAACAAAGGTAAATCAAATTGATCATCGTTTAAAATTCAAGCAAATCTAATGAAAAATCAATGAATATTTTAGGTCGTGCATCGATTTATATTCTGCGAACGGCATTTGGTGTCGATTGGTACGATCGTATTAAGATTATTTATGCTGGTGATGATGCAACCGACGAGGACGCCATGATGGTGTGTATTAATTGAACACAAAAAAAGGTCAAATTGTTAAATAAATATGTTTTAATTTCAGGCGCTGAAAGGTATGGCCGCAACATTCCGTGTCACATCATCGCATATTGTAAAAACATCAGCCGAACATCGTTTGCCATCGACAGATTCGGTGCTTACAATGTTAAAATGGGTTGAAAGACATGTGATGAGACGCAAACCACGTGCCAATTCACTAACCTATCGCCTAAAAAAGAATGACGGTGTTACAATGCAAATGACATTCGACATGGCACGCCTGACCACAGCGAATAGCAACTGCAGTAGCACCCATAATAGCGGTTCCGAGGACGATTTGGTTTAGAATATCTTGCATTCTTTACAAATAGAAAGACAATCTTACTTAATCTATGAAAATGGGATTATCTTTGAAACTGTATTTCACTCGAACGTTAAGAGTTTTATGCATGAAAATTCCAACCAAAAAAAACCAACCGAATCATAAAAAATGATGTTAAAATTCCACTCAAACTCTATTTTGTTAAGTGTGTAGTTAATGTTTAGTTTTAGAAGAAAATCGAAATCAAAAAAAAAAAAAATCGCGTTAGATTGTTTAGGGATAGGCTATAAATTTGAACAAATGTTTATAAAATGACGATTTGAACAAAAAGAAAAATAGAGAAATATGCATGAAACGAAACTATACGTAATAAACAAATTTTGATATCGTTTTCTAAAACTTGTTTGTTTTTTTATACACGCATCGTGTTTTGACGGGCGAATAATCGCCTTTCGGCTACTTTTTTCATACGTTTGGCCATTGGATTGTACTTTGACTTATTGACTCAATTGTTTTGCAGCACTTTTAAGGATTGTTTAGTCTATAATGAGAATCGGCTTGTTTTTTCCATCGAAATCTACGTTATTGACAAGCTATTTTTCAGTAAATAAGAAACATACGCATTGAAATCATAGGCTTTCTGCTTTTGAAAAATATCCCATTTTTTGCTATATATTTTATACGTCTTATTAATCGCTTTATTTTTTGCTTACGTCATAACGTTGTTTTTATTGACAAAAGTGTTGTTGCACTCTGATAAACAGCGTTATGAAAATAAATAATTTGCTTTTTTTCGACCAACAGCATATGGGGATGTTTGCAACCCTCATTTTTTATATTGAGCGTTTTCTATCCGTCTCATTCAATGCGGAGTTCATTTGAACTTTGAACGATTTTTGTCAATTCTACGAATGAAGAGGGTGTGTGTTTACTCTGGCGGGCACCACTTTTCTAATCGTTATGGTCGCCGGCATTTCATCTCTCCTTTTACAGATTATTAAATTAATATTTATTCGAAGAAACTTAGTTCAAGTCATTTTGTCATTTATCATCAAGTAAACAAAAAATCGAAAGAAATGTCACAAATTGAGATTTATTAAATCACACATTTCTATTTTTGGATAGGACATATAAATAGTGCTACACAAAATAAATAACGAAAACATTTTTGAAGATTTTTTTCACAATCTATAGATATTTTTTCTTCTATTTTTTTCTCATGGTCAGAACAATAACGTTTACTGTAAAAGACGGTTTTTTTTCTTACAGATTTTACCATTTTTTAGCCGGAAAGCTTCAATCACTATGTATCGAAACTGTTGATGTAAAATTGAATGAAAATTAGAGTATATGTAAAGCATGTGGACACCATCTGAAAAAAATGACAATATTTAACCAAACTATTGAAAATCAAGGACCGGTTCGTGCATATTTCCATGCTTGCTCAGATAGGTAGCAAAAGCGAAAAATGTTCCGCTTCATAGGCGAGAATGCGAGACAAATTGATAAACTGAAATGAAATTAAAATAAATGGCATGTAGAATGACCGTATACATGAAATCATGCCCGACCATAAACTAAACCGCATACCATAATCATATAAATAAAAATCACCGTCAATCAAATGGTTAAAAAACTCAATTCAGTGTGACGCATGAATATCTTATTAAGTCTTTTCTTATCAGATAACACTTTTTGTTGAAAATGTTGTCTACGTTCTTTTCATGATAATTGTGTGTTATCAATATTGATTATAAATTTGATTGAATTGTGCTCTTTGGCATATTTTAAAGAGACGTTTCACTTATGAAATAAAGTATTTCTCCTCGTATTCAATAACAAATTACTCATATCACACCAGCAAAAATAAACTTTAATACACATCAACAACCGTATTTTTCAAAATAACTTAAATCAGTATAAATTCTAGTCAATTTTCAGTTGAAGACTATTAACTGAACACCAAAAATTGTTCAAAAAAGAATGTGTCGAAAAAATACCGAATGGAATTTGTCTACACTATTTTTGGCACTCATAACAATTTATGATTTCACTTCTGTGGCTACTCGTGGTAAGGTACTATTTTTGTGCTGGTAAAGAAAATTTAGTTTTATTTTACGGAAAATTATCACATGCACTCATCATTCAGTGATACGTATATACATCGTGTTAATTATTACTGAAATTGAAACTGATATTTTTCACAGCACACGAACTACAGTGTTACACATGTTCATCGGACATCCTGACGGCTTGTTCAGTGGATTACATTCTAAATCAAGAGGAACTACCTTATAATACGTGCCCGTTGAATACTACATCGTGTTTTACGAAAGTAGAAAGTAAATCAATCTCCAAAACTGATAAATTTTCTTTGGAATTAAATAAAAACAAAGTTTGTTCGTCGTAATTATACTTTAATTCTAATTTATGTCAATAAAACTTTTAGATGGTATCACCTATCGTGGATGTTTGACACCAAAAAAAGTCGGCTCAAAAGCGGTTACCTGTAATGATGTAAATGAATGTGATCAAATTTGTCATACTAGCAAATGTAATAGAAATACAAGTGGTACGGGATCGAATTCCTTTCAAACTAAAGTCGACGACAATGTAGAAAATAAACCATTGCGGTGTATTGAGTGTGACTCACGCAAAGCAGGGGAAGAATGTGTCGATACATCGTTTGCTAATCGAGTGGAATGTCCATCAAATATGGGCTGTTATCATCATTTCGATGGGAAATCGGTGCGTCGAGGTTGTCTTGTCAATTTAGACGAAAAGGCTCGAAAAAAGTGTGAATTAGATAGTGACGAGTGCAAAAAATGCGCGGAAAATGAATGCAATTGGAGGCCATCGTTTCAATCATGTATAAAAACCGATCTTACTGAAAGCAAATCGAAAATATGCAAACGATATACGGATCAATGTTTTACACATGTTTCCAGTGATATTGTTCGACGCGGTTGTGTGAGCGATATAACTGAATCACCAAATGAAGATGGTATCAATATTACAGACTGTGAACTATGCATTGGATGGAATTGTAATTCAAGAACAACGGTAAAAAGATGTTTGATTTGTGATACAGGTACGGATAATAATCAATGTGCTATAAATGCAGTATCAAATTATAGTCAAATTTGTACAAATCCAAATGATCATTGCTATATATACATCGGCGAACATCAAATCTCAAGAGGTTGTGTATCCGAAAGTGATGAGCTATTCAAGGAGTGCCAACAAAATCCCAAAAAATGCTCTATTTGCACAACAGATAATTGCAATAACAAAAACATTATGGTGGAGACTTGTGCATCGTGTGATTCGAGGAATAATGAACAATGTCACCTTGAACCTACTCGATATGCGAACAAAATATGTAGTGAAATACAAACGACAGATCGACTAGGTTGTTACTTACGTGTGGTGAGTTTGCCCGAGTGTAGCCAATGGCTTTCGATTTATAATAGAATGTTGTGTTTTTGTTTAGAATGACGAACATTATGAAAGGGGTTGCGTTCGTGATTTGGATCGAAATTCAGTATCTGAATGTGAAAAGCAAACGGAAAATTGTAAAACATGCAAAGCAAAAGATTGTAATATAAAAATGGAATTCCAGAGATGCATTCATTGTAACAGTATAAACAATCCTGAATGTAACATTGGTGTAACATCAAAAGAGTGGCAGATTTGTGAGGGATATTTGAGCACATGTGTGACTGGAATTGATGCACATGGCTATACGCATCGCCGTTGTAGCAGAGAATATCACGATCAAGACATTGAATTTCCGAATCGACAATATATGGTGTGCACTCAAAATATGTGTAATACAGGCATTTTTCCAAGGAATCGTATTCAATGCTATCGCTGCAATGGAGACAAAGAGAATTGTGATTTTATGCCATCGAATTTGATGGAAAATAAACTGAAGCTAGTACCATGTGACATGTTTTCTACGTTGGACCAATGCTATACGTATCTTGAAGGTATCGTTCTCCTGAATTTATTTTTTTTTTTAATAAAAAGATGATTTGATATTCTGATTTTCCTGCAGACAATAAAATGTATCGTGGTTGTTTGACTGACCAAAGTGACCACCGTTTATTGTGCGAAGATGATTCGAATAAAAAAGGTGCTTGTGTAAAATGCACCGAAACAGGCTGCAACAATGTTCCCAAAACCAGGCCACCGTCATTATCTTGTGTACGTTGTGGCAAATCGGAAGAATGCGCGTTTGGACAAGATAAGAAAAATGCAGTGCCATGCAGCAATATTGTTCCATTTGGTGTTGATGAATCATGTTTCATTCGTTACAATTTGGGTAAATTGTATGTACCTTTCATTCGAATCGTATTTTGAACAATTATCTATCATTGATAGTTGATGGTTGGGCTGTCAGAGGATGCACCAATGATGATGATGACAAAACTCCGACTTTCCCTAATAATAATACTCTGTTATGTAGAACATCCACTTGCAATTATGATAATGTCATACGTTCGTCATGTGTTTCTTGCGAGAGTGGTTTAAAGGGAAAATGTGCTGAAATATCTGATGAAAAAAGTCTTGTAAAACAATGCGAAGGAACATATCCATATGAATATCGTGGCTGTTTTACAATTATGAAAAGTATCTATATTTTTAATTGTCAAGTGAGAGAAAATCCATTTGCAGCGAGTTTTATATTTTTCACATATATTTCAGATAAGACCGTACATCGTGGCTGTATCAAAGATCTCAGTGAAGAGGAATATGAAATCTGTAAAAGTGACGGGAACTGTGATCTTTGCTTAGAAAGCAATTGCAACAGAAATTCTGTATCATCATCAACCAAAATAGCTATCAATAGATTTATGATCGCGGCCAACACTTTAATCATATTCCATTTTAATCGATTCTTATCTAATCACAACATTCAAGAAGCTTCCAGCATTTAACTAAAGGAAGTACGACCTTCGAGTCTATATCTTACTCATTATTATTATTATTATTATTATTGATATATTAAAAAAAAGATTCATTGAGTCGAATAGTATAAAAAACGATTTTTTATGCCTTGATATAATTATCAAGCAATTGAAAGAGAAAAAGGTAGCCAATTTCTTGTGTTATATCGTTATCATGGGGGATATATATAAAATATGTTATGTATACATGTAATATTTATAAAAACCAGAGTATTGCTCAGCGCTGCTGCCATCCACAGCATATTAAAATATCTTGCTGAGAATGCGTTGTCCATCGCATGCGAAGGTACGTAGCAGTTTATACATCACAGCGAATAAGAATGGATGCATTGTTCTCTTCACGATTATGTGACTCAAAACATTCAAACGATTGAATAGAGAACAATGCATGTATTGTTGTTCGCTGTGATGTAAAAACTCCATGCAATGGACAACGCATTCTCAGCAAGATATTTTAATATGCTGTGGATGGCAGCAGCGTCGAGCAATACTCTGATAAAAACACCTTTTTGGTCACGCGACTTGATACTGCAAATCTTAAAATGTTCTGACCAGTAAACATATCGAAGTGTTAAAAAAAGTTTTAAATTTCCTTAGTACAGATCGATATAAAGTGGCGAAAAAATAAGTATGTGAAAATAGGGGGTGCCCATACCACGATGGGGGTCGGGGGTCAAAATAATATAAAAATGAACCCTTGCCCTCCGAATTGGGTCATTCAGGGCGACCAAAACTATATGCCAATGGAAACTACATTGATATGCGTAACTTTCATTAGAAGAAACCTAAATGCCCATTCGAGTCATAAGGGGTGAATATTCCATTGTGAAATCACAATGAAATGGGGTATTTTTAGTTTTCGACCCGAATTAAAGGTTCAAGTTAGAAGGAGTAAATTGTAGTTCAAGAGAGATTGACAATGTATGGAGCCTATAGGTAATTTTTCACGAGGAATCCGAATATGTTATTAATTTTGGGGTTAGATTAGATATGGACCCGAATTCGGGGTATTTTTCGAAATTTTCGTGAATTTTGTAGGGGGACCCCCCTTGGGGGTGATGGGAGGGGATGGGCAATGGCTTAAATGAAATGTGCGGATAAAATTAGCTATAGTTGGCCATACATTTGAGTGCAAAATTCCGCACACAAAAAGTGAAAAATCGACTTTGTATCATTTTACCCCAATGGGGGGCTCTGAGTTGTTGGGAGACTAGGGGTGAATGGGCACGAGACAAATATCATTTCTAGGGTAATTTGGGATGCTGATTCCGAATTTCGAGGTTTTGAGTAAAAAAAATCATATTTTGGGGCTTTTTGACCCCCCGACCCCCCTGGAGGGTGGGGGGACTTGGAGGGCAGGGGTCATAAAAAATTTCTCTCGTCATTCTGAACAACTTTGTAGTACATTATTTTTTGATCCGACCAAATTTTGACATGGTGGGGTGCTCCCCCGACCCCCCATCATGGTATGGGCACCCCCTATTTTCACATACTTATTTTTTCGCCACTTTATATCGATCTGTACTAAGGAAATTTAAAACTTTTTTTAACACTTCGATATGTTTACTGGTGAGAAAATGTCATTTTTGATCTATTCTGAAGAAAAATTTTAATAGACCCAAAAAGTTAGCATGCGGGAAATTGAGATGGGATATTAAATTCTCTGTTTTCAATTTATTTCAATGCATTATTACGCTCCGTAATATTTATGTACGTAGTAGAGTCAACTTAAGTTTTTATTCATTTATCGATCAATTGGCTCATCGAAAAACTTTGTGTCACAAAATAAAAGAGCACTTTCATTTTTGCATTAAACATTTTATTTTGACATACTACGAAAATGTCGCAAATCTTTTTAAACATAAATTCAAATGATTGAACTATTATTCAAACTTGAATTATTAATTTCATTAATTGCGTCGGTTACCACGGGCACATCAATTAGAAGTTTTTCTGCTTCAGTTTTACCTGAAATGTTTTTGGATTATAAACTTAAATCAGATGTTTTCGATTTAAAAGTGTGTGATCAAGTTACCGCTTTTGACAGCCAATTCATATGGAGTTTCATCATCATTATTTTTAGCGAATAGATTCGCACCATTTTCTTTTAACAATATAATCGTTTCAATTTTGCCTGAAAAGACATTGTAATAAAAAGAATTTTGGCGACATTCGTTATTGTTTATTCTGAATTTTGGAAAATTCTACAATTACCTTCCTTAGCTGCCCAGTAAAGTGGTGTTTCTTTCAAATTATCTTGGGCATTTACATTTGCACCTTTTTCAATAAGAATTTTGACGATATCTGTGTGACCTAGAAAACATGAAAAGTAATTAGATTACACTTTATTGAATTTATTTATTCTAAAAAGTAAACAATTACCACTCTGGGCAGCTGCATGTAGCGGCGTTTCTTTGTCTTTATCTTCAGCATTTACGTTGGCTCCATGATCGATTAGAATGTTGACTGCTTCGGTATTACCTAGTAAACATGAAAAGTTATGAAATTAGCTTCCCCATTGATGCAATAAGAAAGAGAACAATTACCTTGAAAAGCAGCGTAGATAAGTGGTGTTTCTTTGTCCATATTTTCGGCATTTACATTGGCACTATTATTGACTAGATATTTAACTGTATATGTGTTACGAGGGTTGCTCCATAATTTTTTTTTAAAACATATATAACACAGTTGTTTTTTGTCGAAAATGGTTTTATTGTTTTTCAAAATATTCCCCGAGATGATCGATACACTTTTGCATTCGATGAAACCATTTGTCATAGCATTCGTGCCACTCCGAAACTGATATCTCCAAAACGTGTGTTTTGAACGCTTCAACTGCTTCTTCTGGTGTCGAAAATCGTTGACCACGTAGTTTTTTCTTCACGCTTGGGAACAAAAAAAAGTCATTGGGTGCCAGGTCAGGACTGTACGGTGGACTGTACCCATCAGTTCGATGTTTTGACCGGTCAAAAATCGAGTAGTTTGAAAAGATGTGTGAGAGCTCGCATTATCGTGATGAAGAATTATTTTGCGACGGTGGTTGTTTTTTCTTATTTCACCAAACACTTCGGGCAAACAAATGGTGGTATACCAATCAGAATTGACGGTCTTACGATCCTCTAGTGGAACGGTTGCCACATGACCACTTCTCCCGAAAAAACAGGCGACCATTCGCTTCGAAGTGCTTCTTGCTCGAACAACTTTCGTTGGGTTATCTTCATTTTGGAAGACCCATACAGTCGACTGCTGTTTCGTTTCGGGCTCATAGGCATATATCCACGATTCGTCACCAGTGACGATTTTATTAACGTCTTTTGAAGCACCACGATTGAATTTCTTGAGCATTTCTTTACACCAACTCACACGAGCCATTTTTTGTTCATCGGTCAATTTATGTGGGATCCAACGAGAGCAAATCTTTTTTACGGCTAAATGTTCATGCAAAATTGTATGTATGCTGTGGGATGAAATGCCCAAAGATGCCTCAATCTCACGGTAGGTCACATGACGATCTTCCATAATCAGTTTTCTGACAGCATCGATGTTTTGTGGCACAACAGCCGATTTTGGACGACCTGTATGAAACTCGTCTTTGAGCGAACTACGACCGCAACGGAATTCTCGGTACCAGTTATAAATTGTCTGAAGGGTTGGTGCTTCATTGCCAAAGGCCAAATGAAGTCGATCGAAACACTGTTGTTGAGATAATTTACTTCGAAAATCGTAGTAAATCATTTTACGAAAATCTTCACGTGTAAAATTCATTTTTTTGTTGAGTCGCAGTTTACCAGTCACTGTAAACAATACAAATAGCGTTCGTACGACAAAAGGTTCAGGGCACGAATACATACCAAAACATCAAACTTTACGAATATGACAATGGTTTACATCGGGCAACACTATAAGTACCATTTTAAAAAAAATTATGGAGCAACCTACGTATCTAGTAAGCCTGAAAAGTAATAACAAATTAAGAATATTTCATCTTCATTGGGAAAAGTGTATAGCTACCACTATAATCTGCTTTGTGGAGTGGTGTATCTTTGTGTTCATCCTCAGCATTAACATTTGCATCTTTTTTGATTAGCATTTCAACTATATCTGTATAACCTAGAAAGCACAAAAAATAATAAGAATATATAGATCTATTGAGACCATTACTTGACCATCTTGAACTAAGCTTTAAAATATTAATTTGAAACCGATTCTTTCGGATTCCTGTGCACAATCCGTGAAAAACAATATTTTTCGCTCAGGATGAATATTTTCCATGGAAAATGAGGTTTGAATTTCACGCACACCTCAAAACATATTTCTAGATATTTTCGAGGTCAATGAACCCACAATGCTTTTTGAACATGGTTGTTGTGGAACTTTTCAACGTCGTACTTTGTCCGCTTAAGTCCATGGATTATCTCATTCCACAGAAACGGTATTTGAAATCTAGCGACATCTGATGCCCGGTGTACAATTACACACTACTTGCGTGCGAGAAAATATGTTGACATAACAAGAGAAACCGATTGAGCTTGTGATTTGCTCTGGTACAGCCAACTACCATATTTATGTATATTTTTATGAATTTTCAAACAAAATTTGCAATAATTTAAGTTCAAATCAATCAATGTTGATTAAAATTGCTTGGTTTGCCTGCGGACTCATGAGGTTTCGAAATATTTTTTTAAATTCAACTTATTCATACATCAATACATCCAAATAAATCGGAAGTATATTTCCTTTTAATTGAGAAAAATGTATAATTACCTTTCTCGGCAGCCCAGTGAAGTGGTGTGTATTTGTATTGATTTTTGACATTGAAATTGGCTCCTTTTTCGATTAGAATTTTCACTATATCTTTATGACCTGCAAAGCACGAAAGTGATAAAATTAAACTTTATTGAGGACAGATATTTTTATTTAGAGTGTAAAATTACCATAAGTAATTGCTTTCTGAAGTGATGATAATTTGTATTCATCTTCGGCATCAATATCGGCTCCATGTTCAATTAGATATTTGGCTAATTCTGTATGACCTAAAAAATATGATAAGTGATGAAATTGAGTTTCATTAGACATTCAATCCTAATTGGGAAAAGTATATAGTTACCATTCATAGCAGCCCAGTGAAGTGGTGTTTCTTTCAAATTATCTTGGGCACTTACATTTGCACCGTTTTCAATCAGAATTTTGACGGTATCTGTAAGGCCACGAATAGCAGCGTCATTGAGTGGGGTATTTTTGTATCTACTTTCCGCAGTCAGATTAGCACCATTTTCTATTAGCATTTTGACTGTATTTGTGTTATCTGGAAAACGCGAAAAGCAATAACATTAAACGTAGATAAGTTATTTTTTTTTATTTGGAAAAGTGAACAATTACCTTTAAAAGCAGCCCAGTGAAGTGGTGTACGTTCGTCTACATCTTTGGAATTCACATTGGATCCTTTTTGGATTAGATATTTTGCTAATTCCGTATGACCTAGGAAACATGAAAAGTGATGAAATTGAGCTTCATTGGGAAAAGTGTATAGTTACCACTTGTAGCAGCCCAGTGAAGTGGTGTTTGTTTGTCTGCATCCTTTCAGGTTGTCAGCATTCACGTCGGCACCTTTTTCAATTAGAATTTTAACTGTATCTGTGAGACCTATAAGACATGAAAAGTCAAAGCAAGTCATATTTGCTGTTAAGTAGAAAAGTGTACGATTACCATTTGTAGCAGCCTTATGGAGTGGGGTATTTTTGTATCTATTTTCCGCATTCACATTTGCTCCTTTTTCGATCAAATATTTCACTATATCTGTCTTATCTAGAAAGCACGAAAATCATTAGGATAAAATTTCATTTTAAAATATTTCTTTTTAATTGGGAAAAGTATAAAATTACCATCATAAGCAGCTCTATGAAGTGGTGTCCATTTGTCCTTATCTACAGCATTTACATTTGCTCCGTGCTTTATTAGAGATTTGATTATGATGATATTACCTACCATATAAAATAAGCATGAAAAGTGATGGGATTAAATGTTTATTTTTAATTTTAAAAAAATGTCTCTTTACTTTTCCGCACACCGGGTGTGGGAGCTACACTTTAAAGGTATTTAATTGGATAAAAAATAACTTAAATTAGATAAAAGTTATATATCGAAGACAAAAAAATCTTCATATTCTAATTTTTTAATCGAAAACATTTCTTAAGAACTTTCTTATAAAAAAAATACGTTCAAATTATTTTGATGGAAATCTTATAGTATAATTTATCATTTTTGAGGGGAATATTTATGTTTTTTTTTTTAAATAAATTCATATGAAATCGAATTGGATTGTACACAAATATAGATAGTATGACACATTGTATCAACATACTTTTTTCACCAACCGATTTTAAAAAGAGTTAATCGAAACTTATTTATGCATCAATATTTTTGCTCAAAACTCAACAATTTTCAAAAAGTATATACTAAGCCGCTTAGTCGAGGCGTATTCAGTGTAATCTCTCAGTCACATTTGGAATGCCAAAAACTAATTTTTAAGTAGAAATATGTGGTATAAGGTGTCTTTAACGCACTTACTAATGACGAAATCGAATTCAAGTGAATTTATACACAATTATATGGATCATCGCTATGAACAACTTAAATCACATAGTTGTTACTGTAACCGAACGCTTATTTCAAATGCATTTGATCGATAAAATTTTAGCCACGTCATTCATATTATTTATATTTTTATAAAAGTTTAAAATTACCAAAACTGATGGCATCAAACAGTCGTCGGTCCAAATGAGAGTTTGCATGTACTTTGAGACACACAAATAATAAAACAAATAAAAAATTTCCATTCATTATCACCAAAGGATCACACGATACTTCGAATTATTTTGTACAAATGTCTAAATAAAGTATCACAAACTTTTATTAAGGAGACGTAAGCACTGTACACCAAGTTGGTTTTATTAATTGGGAAACTTGTCTGATTTTTTTGTGATTCGAAAATCGTTTAAACTTCTGCAATAATGAAAATGATTCCATTCGCAATGGAGTACACGAAACTTCTGATTTTTCTACTCGACTCTAGACGTGATTTTGCTTCAATTTTTATAAATACAAATGCCTGTTAAATTTATTTATAGATTTAAATCTAAGTGTGTAGCGGTGTGTATTTGCTTTTAAATGTTGAATTTTTTTTCCACTGATTTTTATGTTTATATCTAAAAAATGATGAATCAGATCTGATTTTTTCACAAATATCTTTCAAACAGAATGTTTACTTTTAAAAATTCGCATTTTACATCTAAAAATAACTTCGCGCTAATACTGATAAGTTCAAAGCAAGCTAACATTTTGCGAAAAGATATTTTTCGGCAGAAGCAGACGAAAAGTTGGAAGGTGAATGAAAAGTCAAAGATTTCTAACGAAGTGAATTTGGTTCGAAGAAATGAGTTAAAAAAGAAAAATAAACTCGAAGAAAAAATATCTAAGAGATTGAATGTCATCGCTTAAAATTGGTATTTCCATCGACGAAGATGATCATAAAAAAAAACATTTCAAAAATAAATGTACAAAATAAAACGAAATAGTGCGAATTTGACACTCTCGGGTTTTCCTTTTAGGAAAAAACGATCGATGTGATTTTTGTCTAATCAACGCAAAATATTCGCACCTTTTCGATTAACAATTTAATCGCTTCATTTCGGCCTAAAATGAATTTCAGCGACATTTCTTAATGTATCATGTGCAAAACGAAAATGTTTTCTAGCTTTCAAACTGAGTTTTCTTGCTTTCATCTTCTCTGAAAATATTACATTCTCTACTACAATAGTTGAAAGTGAAATTGTGACAATTGAAAAATAATCACCAATAAATTGATAAGCTAACAATTATGTTTATAACATTTTATTGCCTTGTCATTTTGCTGCTTCATTTTATCAATTACGCATATTTTTGAAAATACATTTTTCGGACGCTATTCAACAACGCAAAACCCTATCAATAATCTGATTATTACACCTTATCTCTGCTGATTACTAATTGATTTTCAAAGAAATTACTATATAAAACAAATACGTTCGTTGTTAATTTTATATAGACATTTAAAGGTAAACAGTAAACCTGACTTTCCCCACGTAGATAATCACAGTTTTGCGTTGCAAGAAAAAAGCTTTAACTATTGAATTCGATTTTTATCACGTGTGAAAATGTTCAAATCACTTTCAAACCGTATTATGTTTATGCATTTAACATTTTTGACTTTTTCTATCTCAATTTATTCCGGTAAGTATCAATTTCATAAGTTAATCAAAACCGTAAAGTAATTGTGTCTATTCCATTTAAAATAAAATGGCTTCATCATGAATGAGTCCGTGAAATTTTTTCTTCTGATTTTTTTTTGTTTGTGATTTGTGAATGTTTTTCAACATAGTTTGATCGAGGTATATGCAAATACAGTTTGATTCTTTCAGTACAAGGATTACAGTGCTACGCATGCTCATCGGATAAATTGGAGGATTGCTCGACGCTTCACTCAGATGAGGAACTTCCGCTTGAATTATGTTCGTCCGAAGACAGATTTTGCTTTACCAGCATTGAAAGTAAACGACAATATTTTTATAATTGTCGAGATTCAGAGTATGAAATCGTCACTCGCAAAGCACTTTTGGTGAGATCCGCTCCTATCCATGTATGTATTAGTATGTAATTACTGTCGATTGTATCAGTGTGTACTAATATGAACTCAGGAGCGGCCCCTGACAAGAAGATTAAGCGCTTCAGAAGCGCTTGGTAGCTAAGTAGGTGCAAGTGTGATTTCAACTCGATAATTAATTTTTAATTTTAGTTTCATCCCAATAGAGTCCAAAAAGTTCATTTACTCATTCTATATCAATGTGCATTTTTCAGATGGTATAACTACACGCGGCTGTTTATCGTCATCTAAGAAGAGGATTTGCAGTGAAAATTCGTGCTCACGTTGCAAATCAAATAAATGCAATGGTGAAATTTTTCCCGAGGATCGTTTGATTTGTTTGCATTGCTCCGGTAGCAATTGTGTGAGCCAGGGAAATTCAATTGATGTGAGATTCCCTTGTGTTAATTATGTTCCGAACGATGAATGCTACAGCATATTTTCGCATGGTGAGTTGGATGGAAATTTTGTTTTTATAAAGTCAAAAAGACAAAAAGTAATAAGTTAAAAACTAATTTTAGATGGAAAAACGGCGTATCGTGGCTGCATGTCAGACACAGATCAAAACAAAGGCGAGTGTTTAGGTCATGTACAACAATGTCATCGATGCAGTAATCGTGCATGCAATGCAAATTCTTTGGAACTTGAAGAGAAACTTTCTTGCATCAAATGCACACCGGATGGAAATTCTAACTGTAATATTCTTGAGGATTTTACTGAAGCCGTTGAGTGCGCTCGAACAGCACTTGGCTATAAAAACCGATGCTATACACATTCAAAGGATGGTATTTCTCATCGAGGATGTTTGTATGAGGCTAACACCGATATTTTCAAAGAATGCAGTGATGAGAATAGCGAAAGATGTTTTACTTGCGCTGAAGAGGGTTGCAATGATACCTCCATACCCGATGGAACTCAATCACAATAGGATATTAAATACAATAAAGTTAAATTACGTAGATTTATCTCGATACAATAGACATGGTCAACATTGAAAGTAAATTCAATCGGCGAAACACACTTCCAACGAAGAAAAATGACGCGAGGAAAGAATTATTAGATTGTAGCACCATTTTTATCATACATAATTCAAAATTCATAAATAAAACAGTTTGATTTCTATTTTTCGAGCAATGAATCGTGTTTTTTATTATTTTTTTTTTCAAATTCAAACTTTTTAGGCCAAACTAAAAAATATCAAACCGTTTTAACTATTTTGAGTTGGATCCGCTTATGGCAGCCTAGACATTTTTTTTCTATACAAACCATTTTTTTTTTATTTTCCTCTGAAGTCAAGATGATTGAATTTCTAAATAAAACGATAGATTAAAAAGGAAACAAAAACACAAACATTTTGATAATCAAAAACATCAAGTGTGATACACGTCAAATATTATCTCAAAGCTCTTGAAAGTTTCAATTGCTTCTTTCCTGGTATTCTTTTCACTACTGCAATTGGTAAATGCAATGCAATTTAAGCCGCCAAACTTATTGAAAAATGAATGACTTTATTTATGTAGTTATACATTTTATGATTCATAAAATACTTAAATCAGAATGTGATAATTCTTCAATTCGAAAGTTATAATTCATTTGATAACAAAATATTATCTCTCTCTCTCTCTCTGGCCCCTAAGGTGCATAGAGTGGTTTGCATCATTTTTCCATGATAAATGGGAAAAGTAAAAAAGTTTGACGATTAAATATTGCTATAATCGAAATGCCAATTCACTGATTAAGCATTATCTGAATTGATAACATATTTTGGAATTTAATTGATAACTTAACTGTCGTATTTCAATAAACATTCAGACGTTAATCGATTATTGATTGTCATTTTAATACGGTTGATGTACTTTACGTGTTTAGTTGCTTTTTATTATTTTTATTGAAAGGCGACGATTTTCAGTAAATAGAGGAAAAAAAGAATTTTTTAAACTGATTCATGTGGATAAGCCAAATGGACGTGAAAATATTCAAAGGTTTCTATTGTTTGGTATTGATTTCGTTTTCGTTGTCATTGATTGCATCAAGTAAGTGTGAAGTAATATTTTAAATGGTTCCCAAATAAAAGTCAGTCAGTTCTTTTTAATTTGTTGGGCAAGTTCATAATTTGCCGAATAACCAGGCTCTTCAAACAATAATTTTCAGCGTATGGGCTTTATTGTCATGTGTGTTCATCGGATAAATTAGAAGATTGTGCGACACTCCGTTCGATTGAGGATCTACCAACAGAGCTTTGTCCTAGTAATTCTGCGTCATGTTTTACGAAAATCGAACGTAATTATTTAGTTTAAATTGTTTTGATATAATGGACGTATAGATTCTCGAAAAAATGGTGATATATTGCATCTCTTCACTCAGACGATGTGTATGCCAAACATAACAATGGTGTCATTGCTTGAAATCAATTGAAAGTAAAAAGCAAAAAATATTGCAGTCATGACATTTCAAACATTTGCGAATCTATATATCTGTAGATCTATCTATCTATTTCCATTGTGTGGTTATTTTGAATGAAATCATGATAATTTTACTTATCAGTTTGATATTTTTGATAAGTTTGTTTGATTATTATTTGATTTAAATCGATCAGCCACCAACTGTCACCATTACGATTTTCCCCGAATATTCTAATCATGTAAAAGTTTTTAGATGGAATCACTATCCGAGGATGTACACGATCAACGGGAAAGATCTCTCTGAACACCGATTTTTTTGCCATTTGTAAGTCAAATAATTGCAATGCACAGAATTTTCCCGCCGATCGCTTAAGTTGTTTACATTGCGAAGGAGGTAGTTGTGCAAATCAATCAAATTCGATTGAAATGAGATATCCGTGTGTGAACTATCATCCAAATGATCAATGCTATAGCATAATCTCCCACGGTATATGGAAACAGAGAATTGTTTTTTTTTTTAAATCGAATTCTCAAACATCAAATCTATTTCCAACATTTAGATGGTAGTATGGCATATCGTGGTTGTATGTCAGATGAGGACAAAGTTGGCAAAGACTTTTGTTCAATGAATTTCGCGCAGTGTCATACATGCTCAGGACGAGCATGCAATTCAAATCTTTTGAAATTCGAGACGGCAATATCATGCGTCAAATGTAATCCAGATGCAAGTTCTGACTGTAATTTGATTGACGAAAATATTGAAGCTGCTGAATGTGCTGCAACGACTTTTGGTTATAAAAATGCCTGTTACATTTATAAAAGCGATGGAATTGTCCAACGGGGTTGTTTGTATGAAGCATCAGATGATATTTTCAATGAATGCAACAATGAATTCGTTAACAAGTGTCTGCTTTGCAATCACAATAATTGCAATCGAATGCCAATAATCAATAGCAATACAATTGCCACCAAAAATGAAAGAAACTACACATCGGAAAGTGAATCAAATATCCAATACGAAACATGTATTGAATGCAATTCAAACGATGATGACCGCTGTCGAACGAAACCTGAAGCACTCCAAGGGAACGTTTGCAAACAGGGCCGTTCGACAGAAAGTGAAGGATGCTATTTAAACATTGTATGTATAATATTCGCTCCATTTATTCGTAGATTATTTTTATTCTAATACCTACTTTCAGGCTGAAGATCGCGTCCAAAGAGGTTGTATCACGGATTTGTCATCAAACATGAAAACAATATGCGTTGGAAATTCAAATGACTGTAAAAGTTGCGTTGGTAATAACTGTAATGCCAAAGTAAAATTCCATGAGTGTTACAATTGCAATAGTAAGACAGATCTACAATGTTCAAGAGATGCTTCGTTGACTGATACGAAGACATGCCGAACATACTATAGCGAATGTTTAACTGGCATTGATAGAAATGGCTACACACATCGACGATGTACCAATCAACAAAAAAGCTTCAAACGAGAATTTTCCGATAATTTGATTCTGTGCGACGATGAGAAATGTAATGTCAAAATATATCCAAAAGGCATTTTGAAGTGTTATCAATGCAATGGCAAAAAGGAATGTGATTTAACCGAAGGAAGTAAATTGAAACCACAACGATGCACAATGCTTTCGCAGTATGATCAATGTTTTACGTATGTTAATCAAGGTACATACAAAAATTGAATTAATTTCATTTTTTGAAATACTAGAAATTATCCATTTCAGAGAAGAAAATATTCCGAGGGTGTTTGAGTGATCAATCAGAGACGCGGTTGCTTTGCGATCGTGCTGACAAACACGAAAATGGGACGTGCGTCAAGTGTCGTAGTGATAGCTGCAATAATCAACCGAGATTGAGAAAACCGAACTTATCGTGCATGAGCTGCACAGAAACGGAAACAAAGGAATGCGCTTTTGGACAGGATTCATCGAAAGCAATCGCATGTGAAAATCAAGTTGTGTTTGGCGATAAGGAAACTTGTTTCACTCGTTTTGTCAATGGTATATTTTTTCATTTCTCTTTGCATTTTTTAACCATTGACACTAATATAAATTGCATTTGAACCAATTGAAATGTTGAACTGAGCTTTCATGCAGGTTCAAAACACCGCAAACTTAAATGTCAGCTCATACGTCCTCAAGGGAAAAATTCAAGGAGGGGGGCTAATTGAAAAAAAAAATCGTGAGGGGTAAGCAAAAAAGTGAAGTGTGTTTTGCGAAAGGTGTACTTGTTTCGTTTTTTTGCTCTTCACTTTTTTGGCGAAAATCCCTAGCAAATCGGAAGAATTTCTCGCGAAAAACCCTAACAATTTCAAAGATTTTCTTACATTTCTAAAGTTGTTAAGCAAAAAAAAAGGTCTTCACTTTTTTGGCCAAAATCCCTAGCGAATTAAAAGAATTCTTTGAAAATTTTCAAGGGGTAACACTTCGTCAAGGAGGGCTGTAATCACAGCAATGAAATCCCTACTACCGTGCTAGATGGTGTCGACACGAGTGGACGGATTTTTGAATCTATTTGAACGACGCCACGTTACTATACTTGTCCATTACAACGTACATGTAACAGAAGAAACACACAGTCCATGTCCACGCTAGTGGACATAAACGATTTGAACCGTCAATGTGAACTAGATCAAGTATAGAACTTTACATAGGATCATATACGATGAATATGGATTACACAGTCTGTTTCAAAATACCGTCACCAATGTCGACACCATTTGACATCAAAATTTTGACAGTAAAAATATGTGTTATTGTTGTTGTCGTTTCATTGCTGTGGCTGTAATCGGACCCCTGCTATGGAAGTATGTGTCAGCTCATATTTCGTATTGAAAATATTAAGCTCATTTCCCCGCAAAAAATATGAAAACCATAGTATTCGTTGACCCAATGAATAATAATACGAAATTTCGATTGTTTCAGATACACAAAATGTATATCACGTAACACGTGGTTGTACACTTGATTCTAATTCAGAGGTTGATTGGTGCAAGGACGAAGTAGGTTGTAAAAAGTGTTCGGAACCAGGCTGTAATAATGAAAATGCCCGATGGAGTTTTTGCATTCATTGTTCGAGCGTTATGAATGGTGACTGCGCTATCATTTCTAAATTAGATGATTACACCGTAAAATGTGAACATTCATCATATCCATTCAGCAAACGGGGATGTTATACTGATAAAAGGGGTTAACATTATAAATGCAATGAAATAAGAATATATAATAAAAGTACGTTATTATTTATATTAGATGGCAAAATTAATCGAGGATGTATCGCCGATTTGAGTGCAGAATATTACCAAAGGTGTCAAAGCGATAATGAAACGTGCAAACTGTGCACAGAAAACAACTGCAATAAAGAGGACGTTAATTCAAGTGAAAAAATATCAACAGTTCCAATATTGTACTTTTTCGTTCTATTGATTGTATACATCTAATGTCAACCCCTGAATACATATTTTATTATAATATTTTTTACGAAATACATTCACTGCAAAAATATTGCTTTTTGCTTGGAATTATCGATGCTGTGAAAATAAATTGTTGTTGATTTTGGATCAAACATTTGTTTTACTTTGAACGCAACCACAGAGTACTATTGAAGCTCTCCTTGGAAAACGAATTTGAAAATATTTCTCATTTTTTTGCGGAGTAAAAAACCTATTTTGTGCTTGTTTTTCAATCCAAATAAAATTACACCTCCTTACGAATATAAAATCCCCCTATTTATTTATTTCGGCAGAATTTAAATATTTTTCAAATTACAATGACAATTTAACAATTTCGAAAAATGTCAGTTTTACTTCTTCTTATTCTTCAAGGGTTTTCCATCTCTATCTAAGTCCAGAGCAGCCCGGATTTGATTCTTAAAACCAGTGTGTCCATAACATATAGAAATAGCACTAAATAGTGTCGATATCTATACTATATCGGTGCACTATATATGGAAGATATTTCCGCAAGACACCGTAACTCACAATCGAAGTGAGTGCGAACGGCAAAAATATTGACGCATACACACAGTTCTTTCTACTGCCGTACGGCAACTTGTGATTTTTCCCGTCTACACTCACTTCGATCGTGCGATACGGTGCCGTGCGGCAATATCTTCCATATATAGTGGACCGATATAGTATAGATATCGACACTATTTAGTGCTATTTCTATATATTATGGACACACTGCTTAAAACCTTTAGCATATAATCTGTATATGATGGAATTTAGTTCATTTCAGTTCAGATATTTGTTTAAAAACAGAACTTACTTCCATTCACTCTGCACTTCTTTAATGTAATCCTTCCTTTCTTCTCCGGTTGATTTAGCATATGCATCTATAAGATTCTTCTGATTTTCGCGACTATAGAGTTATTGAACATGATTATAAAAAAAATGTAATGAATACTTGAAATAAAATATCTTACACAAGACCATCTACTGAGCGCAGACTGTAAAGCAAAAGTTGTTGGAAATTTTAAATTAAAAATATGAAAGTTCATTATTTTTATTTTCAAAAAATTACTCATTAATTGAGAAAGTCTCATACATTAAATCTAGCTAGTTATTTATAGGAGCTATTGCTATTGCGATATAAAAATAGCTGCTATTTAACGCATCTCTTCGCTGGGACACTGTGTATGCTGGACGTAACAATGGTGTCATTGTTTGAAATGATCAATATTTTAAATCAATTCAATATCGCTATAGCTCCTATGAATATCTAGCTAGATACACAAAAATACCATTCAGATACCATAAAAACTGAAATAGAAACTGAATAGTTCAAAATACTTACTATTCCCGTGTATTCCTTAAATATGGATCATTTGAATAATTAAGATTATTTTTCGATATGTGTATAAATGATATGTGTCAACTTACCATTGCGGCGCCGAATCATTAACTTCATTGGTGTTAGATGAACTGGAACCGGAGATACTTGTGCTGAAACATTCAGATTCAGAATTTAATAAAGTTTTTTTTACTTGATTGAACCATGCAGCGTTGTAGTGCTAGGTCACATCTTTTATATCCAAAACTTACTCTTCATTTCCACTACATTCTGAGAATGTTGAAATTGCCAAAACGATTAATGCGATTGCCAAAAGTCTTCGAAAATATAACATTTTGATCAACTTTGAAGTTTTTATTTCAAAGATGAAATTTAAAAATGAACTGATCGCCATAGTTTTCGTTTCTCCATTTATATTGAGTTTTCCGTTATCGAAACGAACAAAACCACGTATTGACATTTGCAAATTTTTCTTATTTTCTATATTCCAATTTTAAAAATGAAAGCACACGTGTAAGACTATTCAAAATACGATACCAGCTGTATTGACATAGTGTTATGCATATGAATGTATTCATCTTCTAAAACTCTCAATGCCTTAACTTTACATGAAAAGAATAGAAAATATTTAAGACTTTTTGTTACATTCGAATTTCGAATCTAGGGGCATTTATGTATGAAGGACATATTTAAACACGATATTCACTTCTTATTCATCATACACACACCATAAATATCTTATTTGTAACAGTGAATAAGACGTTTACGCATGCGGCTATGACTACACATGTATTTCTTCTTTCACTATGATGCGTTCACTTGGATGAAATGAACACCAAAAATAGAGTAAAATACAGTGCGTAACTCATTTTGAGGGGTAGACTCTCTGCTTACACCACAGCTGCGAGTAAGCGTACTCGAATATTTGTTTCTGTGCATGCATTCGCATATCTCATCAAATAATTTTGTTAAATTGCGATCTTTTACGATTTGAACCACATACATAATTACAGGTATCATTGCAAACGCACGCGTCTGAACTGCAACTTCCATTGTGTACAAATGAAAAACAGGATTCAGTTTCTAAATTTTTACAAAATAGCAAACATTCGCTGCCGTACGTAACACCATCAGATCCGCACACTTTTTCACCTTCTATAAGAGTACACCGAATATGACAATACCAAACTGACTCCAATGATTAAAAGCAGATTCTTCATTTTGGTCGAACTTTATTATTGCTACAAACAAACTCATTTTCTACTAAGTGCATGGCTTTTATATATTTTTTGAACTTTTTTTAAATCTAAAATCATGCTGTTTTTTAAATGAATGCCTGCTATAAGGAAGCGTATTTTACTATCAAGCATTTTACTGTTATTTGCACTTGACTTTTTTTAAATTGTGATTCAACAACTCAAAGCAAGGACAGTTTACTAAAAACTTAGAATGTTTTTAAAAATTTCATAATTAAAGATAAATTGGTTACAAAGTACATAATCAGGTACACGTGTACCAACAGTCTGAATCATTTTTAGAATCATTATTTTCCAGAAAAATTTACTCTTAATTCACCAGTCAGAGACAATTTGTTTCTATGTTAACAAATAAATTTCCTTATGAATCTAGGTTAGAAATTGTATTTGTTTTATTTTAAAGCGAATATTTCTTATCGATCATAAAATCTTTATTACTTTTCAGCACACATAATGTGTCGTAAATGTAGGTAAAAGAGCTAAAGTCACTCAAAATCGTGACATTCTATGCGTAATTTCTATTGAAAATATCGAGAGGAGAGTATGTTTTTATTCAGACATTACTCAGCGATAAGCGCTGAATAACATACTCTCTTCTCGATATATTTAATAGATTTGATATACATGTTTTTGAAAATTTACCATGAAATTTTGTAGTAATTTTACAAATGATGAATATTGGATGATTTTGAAAACATTAAATCGATATTTCTCGCTTTTCCGATGGGAAGTCGTGAAAAATAAGCAAAATGTTGACTCGGCCATAACACCCGAGCGGTTCGACGGCCTAAAATGATTTTTTATAGAATCTCATTACTTCAGAAACTCATAGTACATTTGCGTCATAGTAATTCCACAAGTGATAAATATAGTAACCATTGAGAAATTTTGTTTTTACGAATGATTCAACGAAACAACGTAAAGCGCCACCTGTTGAAAAAGCGAGTATTTAAATATTCGATTTTTGAAGAAAGTTTTGTTGTTTAAACATATAAGTGGACACACTGTAGATCTACATTCTACATAGAATGTAAATAGATCTCATTTATGATAACAATCTCGAATTAAAAAAATTGTGGACTCGGCACTTATATAATACGTACTCATCTTATCTGAATGACGGAGATCGTTGTGCACGATGTTGTTTTACTAATAATTTCATCATTGTTGTTGTTATTTATAGATTTTGTGTAAGCAAAAGCGGCTGTTTTATGAATTCTAAATCATGTTTTTGAACATGTGTAGTAACATGATAAGGTTTTTTGCCAAATACGTCAAACTGAAGGTATTATAAATTTTTATTATCGAACACACATTAAAAAGTATTATTTCTTTCTTTTGCAAGTTTGCTTATGTTAACACACTTGTTCAAGAATATTATTTACAATATATACAACCTCCTTCATTCAGATAAGATGGAAACGCATCATACCACGCTTGCTGAGTTTGTTATCATATGATCCACATTGCGAATTTGAAAGAGAATTGTCAAAAATATAATTATTTTTAATCATTTCATGCGCGTGCAAAAAATGTTGATTGTAAAAATGAAAAATTGCTCATTTACAGAGCTAAATGAAGGCGATAATATAACATGTTACATAAACTTTCTATACGAATGAAAACATGATGGTCAGAGTTGAAGGAAAAATTCGAAAATTGAAATTGAGGACCTAAAAAAGGTTGTCGAAATCACAAGGGAATGCATATTATAAACAATAGAAGTGATTGTTTCAGTGAGTTTACTGCGTACAGCAACACTTCCATTGCTACAATCTCTATAAAAAAGATATCTTTATAATATTAATATAGTCACTGTAAAAATTGTAGAAGTAATAGTAGTCTTTATTTGAATATTTTCTTTTTCCGATAAAAAATAGATACTTATTATTTCATAATTTGTGTGGAATGACATATTACATTTCAAAATTATTTTTATTTAAATTTTTGTTGATTTTGTACAACGTCTTCAATAAATGTGTCCCATTTGACTTGCCACTTGGCGAATGCTACTGTTTTTTCACTATCGTTTAGTGAACTGTACTGAATAGAATTGATTGCGAATTTCTTAAGAGTTCGCAAGTCACTGTGACGCGATGCAATTCCCAAAAACGCAATGTAAAAGTCGTGAGACAACGGTAACACCTCCGAAAAAGATGGATCATCAGATGAAACAACAATGGGCACATTTAATGCCATAAGCACTGACGCTGGATGATTACGAAAATCTTCAATAAGTTTGAGTACTTGATTTGAGATTGGATTCACTTCAACCGCAATATCATTGCTTTTGACAAGATCAATTACTTTTGGATGTTTAGCCAATGCATAACCATGACCAATTCGACGACTTCCCAGTAAAACTGCATCAATCTACAGTGGGAAATGAAAAGCGAAGAAAAATAGAGAGAAAAAAATTGAGCACAAATAAAAACAAAAAAAATGGAACTGCAATTAATAACCAAATTTTCATCAACACTGCCAAACCACGCTGTTTCACCGGCATGGAAAAAGAGTTTTATGTCGTCAGGCAACTGTAAAATCTTTTCGGCAAATGAAACTAAAGCAGGAGCCTTGTCTTCCTGTCCAACCTGTTTTTGTGTTTTTTTTTATTTAAATAATCATACAAAATGATGAAATTTTTTTGAATAAATTATTATACCAAATCGAAACCGGCCAAGAATTGTGGAAATTTCGCATGCAGTCGACGAACGATGTCAAAAGATTTGGCTATCGTCTCATTATACTTTTTCTTGAGTGGTGAATATATGAATTTCGAGCCAATAAACGATGGATTATCACGCTTGAATTCATCCAATGCTTCAACATACATTTCCATTATATCCTCTTCATTGTATTTATTACCATCCAAATCGTAGAGCTTTCCATATGAAATAAATGGAAAATTAGAAAAACAAAGAATCAAATCTAATTAGTAAGATATTCGACAAAAGATGTAGACAAATTAGGAACAAACAAACAATTACGTTAATTGCGTGGAAGTTTGTGGACGAAAATCATTTGATTTTTTTTTACGAAATTGAAATATTAAGAAATTAAACCAAATAATTACCTTGGTCAAGAGACCTCTGAATTCCATATATTGAACACCGTCCGCCTGCATTTCTGTGAGTGCATGCTTGTAATAGGCTTTCAAAACTGGTGCATATGTAAGAATGGGCTCTAATTTAGTAAATAGACCAGTTAAATGATTCCATGCGTCATTAGCGTCCTTGAATTGTATACGTGGATTAACATTTTTGTCGGATAGAGTGAATAGTTTACGTAAATTTTCATCATATTTCTTGGCACCAATTTCAGATCGGGCATCTTTGACGAGACGCCATGACGAATCGTTATCGTCTGGTTTTTTCTTGGGTTTATCACGCGAAAATACAAATTCCAAAATGTCATTGCTGTTGTTGATTGACGTCCGTTGCCACAAATTCGACCAATAAGTTAATGAAATCACACAGCTTATGGAGCAGAAAGCTGTATCGTGCGTATGTAAAATGCCACCCTTTGGCATTTTTTGTATGATTTGAAACAGTTTCGATTGTTTGATGGCATCCAAAACTTCGAAAATATGACGTGATGGATTGAATTGGTGTGGCTGGAATAAACCCGCTTGAAATTCATCCTCTTTGGCTTTCATAATAATTTTGTTCGCAAGCTGTTCGTTGTCGGTGAGTTTAATCTCAGCCGCAAAACTTGTTTCTGCTTCATATTTAAGCAAATCTTCTCGGTCTCGGAAAAAATCACGAAGATTTGTCTTCGAATTACATACCGTTTGTGCGCCAACAATGTTATTATCATTGAATTCGTTTGTTAGGCATCGACAACGTTTCATCACATTTTGATTGTGCATTAGCGCCGAGTCGACCATATGAAATAGAACTCCGCTGCATATTAACCAGAAAGTGTTTCTCGTTTTCATAATTTGCTCGTGATCAGGAAATCAATTCACAATTCAATATTTCAGTACAGTTCTCGAGAAGAAAAAAAAACTTGTCCTTATTTTATAACATTTATTGGCTGTTTAAGTGTCGGAGAATGAAATCAGACTAACTCATAACAGCATATCAACTGTTTAAAAATAATTGGTTCAATATAAGTACACGCTTGCGTTGCGTCGCCGTAAGTAATACGCATCTTGTATGAGTGTAGACTCATCTAACGCTATGTGTGATGAATATTCACACATGTGTTAGATGGCTTAGATTTATAAATGGAATAATCAGAAGATAAAACAAACGTATAAGATAAACGCAAAACACACACGGAGAAAAATTTAGGGTAAAAATAAAGAAGGCATAAGAAAACCATAGAATTATTGCCTAAAACGATAAAAAATAAAAATCACATATAGTTGGCGCTGCATTCTATGCAAACTTGTTTTTCATTGCAACGGAATAAGTGGAAAGTATACGCTTATTACATAAAATGTGGCGCCAACTATACGAGAATTTTATTTTTTTTTTTATCATTTTAGGCTTCTTTAAAAAAAGTGAGAATAAAAATAAAATAACTAAACTTATTTTATTTACGCTCATTCTCAGATTGGGTTTTCATACGTATTTTTCAAACAACAATAATATCAATGAAAGCCTTTCCATTTTTTTTTTTCAAAATTATAGAAATTAGTGAATTATTCATCTCAATCGCGTCGTATGGTACCTCGGTGAGAAAAACGAAGAGAATGTTCTCTATTCCTTTCTTCACAACTTCTTTTGCTGTTTTTGCAAAACTTTTCTTTGCAGCTTCAACTACGACTTTTCCCACATCTCCTTTTATCCATTATTAATTTTGAATTTACTTTTTTCAATGGTAATGCTGACTTTTAAGTGACTTTACTTTGTGCACCAATTCTTTCGAATGAACACGATTGAGAATATACTTTTTCGGAAATAAGAAAGACTAAACATTTTATTATTTATTCTGTAATTGGTCTTCATTTGAAAATTGAATCAACAATCTATAATCGTGAATACCTTCAGTAGTCACGAAAACCAAGAGATATAAAATATAGTCATGACTATCCTCTATAGTCACGATATGGTGCATTTAAAGTAACCGTGACTATCTTCTATAGTCATGAATAAAACAATTAGAATAAGTTTTCTAGCACAAATTTTGTATATAATCCACGACAATGTTTGAATAAAGTTCAATGTTTGAATAATAATTTTGTGAGAGTAATTTCCCAAATTAAAGATTCAAAACATCTCCACACATGAATTTTAATAATTTGGAAATATGTATATCATATATTTTTTAAAAAGCAATTAGTTTACACTCGCTTAAACGTACAAAACAGATCTAATTTGCGTCATTTGAAAACATTCTTTTCATCTTGTTAGTATTTCATCTTACGCATGTAAGATAGTTATTTATTTCATTTTGCAGAATTGTAACATTTTTCAAATTAAAATGACAAATTGATAATTTCCAAATACATCAGGTTGTATTATTGGATTATTGGATTTATACGGGGAGTATACTTGGTCTGCTTCATCAGATTACTTCTTCTTCTTCTTCACATTTCCTTTACTATCTAAGCCCACCGCAGCCTGGATTTGATCTCTAAATGAGCGGGGTGTAATATGTCTGTGAATGAAAAGCTTCGATAATTTTTGTTCAGAGATTTGAATGAAAACAATACCTACTTCCAATCTTTCTTCACAGCTCGAATGAGTTCTGCTCTATCTTCTCCGTCCGAATTGCGCATCATCTCTAAGACTAGTTCATTTGTTCCACGACTACAGATTTATTGGTTCAAGTAATAAATCGTTAAAAAAAATTAAATGTTTAAAGAATACCACGAAATACTCAAATATAAAAGATCTTACACTATTGCATCTCTTTCCTGCTGTCTGTTAATCATAAGCATTAAGTTGTTAAGGTATTCATAAATAATTTGATGTGAAAATACACAAATAAATATATTCTCCAAGTATCGATTCTGATCAATTTCCAAAAAAATTCAACGTTTTCGTTTTGCACACACAGCTCTTTTGACTATAGATAGACAGTTTTTGTGTGCAAAACTTACACGTTGGACTTTTTTTTTTACCGAAATTAAGCAGAATGGAATTGAATTTAGTATTGCTCCACCACCTGGTGACACATTTTTACTTACTCCCTTCGGTTTCTCCTGAAATATGGATAAATTTAATATTTTCTTAATTAAGATACTTTTCTAAAAAAATATTAATAATTATAATTGTAAGTGTATCAACATACATTCTGTTGAATTGCTCTGTCAAATTATCCACATCTTCGGCATGAGCTGATGAGCCCGCACCGGAAGGACCTCTAAAATATTCATGTGTTGAAGTTAATAAAGTTATTTTAAATATATTTTTTGCCGTAGCCACGTATTCCAATACTTACACTTCACTACATTTTGACAACGTTGAAATTGACAAAACGATTAATGCGATTGCCAAAAGTCTTCGAAGATATAACATTTTGATAAACTTTGAAGTTTATATTTCAGAGATGAAATCTCAAAATAAATTGATCCTCTTCAATTTCGCTTTCCTATTTATACAAAAAAAATTCGCTATCGAAAATTAAAGTTATTTGTGTCAAATGATAACATGCGGTAAGAAATTGAAGAAAAAGAGAAAATAAATAGAAGATATTATAACACATTGCAACTGTTTATTTAAAAAAAAATTATCACTTTCGAAAATTCGTATATCAAATAAAAGTCGTAAGTAAAAAACACGAAAGTGTGTACCAAGGGGACATCCTTTAAATTTGACTTTATTTCATCAATTATTTATTTCATCCATAAATTTTAACATTAAAAAATGATTTCACATTGTCAAAAAATGCCGGAATTCAATTTAAATGTCTGACATATCAGATGATGCGTTTATTTACATATTTAACGATTTTTTATAACGTAGACAATCTTCTTCAATTTACATTTATAAACGACATTAAATACTTTTAAAGAAGAACCAAAACGCGTGGCGATTTCTTTTTATTTTCAGTTCTTCTTTTTACAAACAATTGCCATCACATTGCTGTTGTTCGTTGCAAGTCGACAACTGAAATAATAACTCGAATACGATTTATTTTTTTAACTTCTCTTAGATTTCTAGATCATTCGTACACATTTTTTAAAGGTACACGGTAAGATGTGAATCTTTTTGTTCAGAAAATTTAAATCGGGTCTAAATATTGTAGGTTAAGTCTCTGGAACCGGGCCGACGGAAACTAAACCTTATCGTCAACATATAATTGAATTTTTCCGTTAGCTTGCTTGATAACAAATCATGATTCATGAAAAAATGACAGATCTAATTTTTAAGGAAAATTTTACATTGAAAATGTTTTTTTTTTGCTTGTGCGAGCAATAGCAAACAAATAATACAGGTCAAAGTTGGATTCTTTAGATAACAAATGTTTATGAATGAATACAATAATTTTAATGATATTGTTGGATTTTTAATTCGCTAAAGGCACTTTGAAAATTTTTTCCCATGACGTGGCCATCGTTTCGAATGTGTTTTGTAAACAAGAGCTGGTTTCGAATTTACATTCCCACGTCTCCTTTATATCGTTTACATCATCCAAAAAGCTAATTGCAAATGTTGTCTCATCGATGTTCTCAACGTCCACCAAATCCGTCATTAACTGTACTCGGGCCACTTCAATTCGGGCGTGATCCATTTTTTCAACGAGCCATCCATACTTTGGTGTTGTCACATATAAATTCGAATCGGTCAAGATGAATGCGGCGGTTTCGTATACGGTGCTGACATCATTATGATCAATAATTTTACAGTAATTCAAAATTGTAAACATTTTAAGTTGTACGTTATTGGTGATTTGAAGCAGCTTTTGTGATACGCGCTCGGAGATTTGGTATTCAAGATCGCAGTATACAGGCAAAGGATTGTCTGTGGAAGAACAAAAAAAAATCGTATTAAATCAAGTCATTTGTCGGTCGTGCAATAGAACTTACTCGCAAAAAATAGAAGTAAACTGTCTGTTCGCATGATATCTTGTAGAAAGAAATGAATATGTCCAAAATGTTTGATGGTGAATGTAATGCCGACCTTCCACGGAAGTACTCGAATCTGTTCGACTCGATTTATAGTACCAAATGCATCTCGTTTCACCCATTTCGTGACATCGTCTGATTCTTTGCCGATAATATTCAAAACATACCACTTTGTGGTTGACATTAAAAATATGGCCGGTTGAAGTTTTGCATCTGGATCATTATTTGCTGTGTCATTGAACAAACATCCTTTCACAAGCCATTTCAAATGTTCATTGTCATCTTCGAAGATGTGTTGATACAAATACAGTTTCAATCGATGATCGGCTTGATCAAATTCTTTGTATGAAAATTTGAATTTTTCACACGGTGGCGCTTCCAATTTGGATCCTTTTGTGGTTCGTGCCATTAAAATATTTGTTGAATTGAATAGACCTATATTGGGTGTGAGAAAGTAAAAAAATGCAATTCAATTTGCCTTTATTCTGCATAAAAGAAAAAGGAAAAATTTCTTACCGCCAAACATATTCGAAATCATTGACGTTTCTTCGAGTTTGCTAGTATCTGTTTCCTTTTTTTCAATTTCGGGTATATGAACTTGCTCCTGTTCGACAGGCGTCATAGTTGATGTCATAATATTTGATATTGTCGTCTCTTCTGTTGCCTTACTGTCGGCCGCTTGATGCTCATACGCCGTACATACACTATCTGTTACCGATCCCGATGAGCTACTCTCTGTCAAATTCATGCATGTCAACATTGGTTTTTTTGGCTTCAACAATGTTTCATTGACTTCGATTTTTTCATGATCGGAGTTTGCGTTGTGTGTCTCATTCGCTTGTGTAATTCTAACCTGATCGACGGAATCAACGCTTGGATCTGGTTCATCTAAAATTTCTTCAATATCACTATTACTTGTCGATTTTATAAGCAAATCGAGCGATGGTGAATGACAATCCAAACCATCGTTCGATTTATTAAATTGATGTTGATGTTGTTGTAGATATAATTGCGTTTGTAATAGATAACGTGAATCTTCCGATTGTTTTCGGCTCGATTGTCGACTGAAACGTTCCAATACTTCGATACTACTAATGCTTGGATTGCTTAAAATTTCCACATCACTTTCGGTTGCTGCACCAAAACGAGATGATAAATAGATGTCTAAGTCATTTGTGTGTTCACAATTAGTTGTGCTGCCGATCAATGATTGATTCGAATCGAATGAACTTTGAGAATAATTCGATAATTTCGATTGTGATAAACTCTCATTAAATGAACTAGCCGAATCTATTAGTGTTTTTTTTTTTTTGTTATAGAGTATTTATTTTGGAACGTAACAGAAACACGATGATTGGCGGAATTTAGAGAGATTTAATTGATCCGTAGCGAAAGGGAAAGAAGAAGAACAAATAAAAAAAATATCGTCAATATTAATTTTGGTCATTTGTTGTATGATTCCTAACTTATCCTAAATTCATAAAAACGCCATATATTTGCATTTTTGTCATAGAAAGTTTGCAAAATAAAAAACACCGGCACAAAAGCAACCAACATAAATATGCATAGAAAATGCCTTTCGAAGACACTAAAATTGCTACTAAGTCAAAACTATTTTAAAAAATGCCCAATTAAAACCAAAAAAAAAAAAACAATGTGCATGGTAAAAGCCAACTAACTTGTAAATAAATTTAAAACTAAAATTTACGACCAAAAAATCTTACTTTCAATCTGATCAGTTTTGCTATCGTTTTTTTCATTCAATCCTAATGGTTTAGTAGATTGATTCCCAACCATTTTAGATCGCGGTGTTTTCAATTAATCGCATATGTGATATAATTTTATAGATATTATTAAATCGGTTATTATTTTCAATGATTAGTAGCTATAAATAAGAAATTGCTTGGATTTTTTTTTGAGTGACACTCAACACTGCTTTTGGTCATTGACTGGAAATTCACGCAATGGGGTTTAATCATAATACAATAGAATGAAAAAATGTGGTATTTTTAATTCACTTTTGGTAGATTTAATATAAAATCAACCAACAACGAATTAAATTTACCATTTTTGACATCTCTGAGGCATATTTTTCAAAAGTGACTATTTGTTGAATAAGTTTTATCAACTGCTTCATTACATTTACCAACTTTTCGAAACCACAGATGACGCTAGCGCATGAATTTGGTGAATGTAATGAGGCAATTGGTAAAACTTATTCAACAAATAGTCACTTTTGAAATTAGTCTCTGTGCATTGATTTTGTATGACCGCCAAAGAGAGACGAGTTTGAAGGTGTTCAACCTTTTTTAAACTTCCAATCTTGTTGAATCTCATGCCAAATCAGAGGGGTGGTATGCGCGTTCACCTGCGACATTTTCAGTCAATGTCCAAAATCAGTGCTAAGTCAAACTCTGTGCAAAATTATGTAATCGTTTAATGTGAGAAATGCGATGTGTGCACTGTTTTTGGTGAGCAATTAAAGGTCCAACTAAATTCGAAGTCTTCTTACTATTTCTGGATTGTGATTAATATCAATTTTTGGTATGAATTCATTTTTTTTTTCAATTTCGAACATTTACACACAAAAAAATTTGCGGTAAAATTTAATGCAAATGCGGTTAAAATTTAGACATTTGGATACTTCTGTATTAGAATTTGCCGCAATTTACCGCATTCATACGAAAATGACCGCACACGTATAAGAGTCAAAATCAAACATTCAGTCTTAAGCGTGTGCGGTCATTTTTGTATGAATGCGGTAAATTGCGGTGAATTCTAATACAGACAAATGCTGAAATTTTACCGCATTACCTTTAAATTTAACCACACACTTCTCATTAACCGCATTTGCATTAAATTTTACCGCAAATTTTTTTGTGTGTAGTCATTTTTATTGAATCACATTTATTGCACATCATTTCTGTGAATCAACAATAATTTTATCAAAAGAAATTGACTTGGCTATTTTTTTTTGTTGATGAGTATGCATCGAAATTTAATCAAAAGACTTTTTTTGGATCGTACTCATATTTCATAGAATCATAGATTCGAAGTTAGTACAAAATAGAATATGATTCAAAATTGCTGAATCATTACTGTGTTTTTTTTTTTAGCTTTTATCGATATGAACTGAATGTGAAAATAAGTTGAATCATATACGTTAATGGGAAAAATTACTTTTTTTAATCCAATACCAATTTTGCATGTGGTTAAATAGGTGAGACCCGTTGATATGATCTTATGATTGGCATGTGCACCGTGGATATTACTTAATTTGCAAGCACATAAGCTGTTTTGATCGCTGGATTATAAATTTAATTGGTGGTGTTTATCTTATTTAATTCGAATATGAGCCGTGATTCAGAAATGTTCACAAAATATAAACCAAACGCATGCATATACTAATATGTTCCCTTTGAATACATTTCGAATGACAACTAGGCTAACAATGTAACCAAAATATTTTTATTTATGCACATAAATTCGATAAATCCTTATGATTTATTCAGATTATGTTTTCACAACAATTTAATGTCAATTAATGTCTATGAAAATGTATTTGCCGGGAGTAATGTCTTGTTTAAGCTAAATGTGTACAAAATTAAAATGAAATGTGTATTTGAATGTTGGTCTTACCGATGCTGCTGTGTGAATTCGATTTATCCAGTGTAACCTGTTCCGAACGTTTGGACGTTGGTGATGATTGAGTGTCTTTCATCTCAATCACATACGTACTTCCGCACTCTGGACATTTCACATCTTTTCCTATGCAATGACAACGACATAAAATATTTAACACGTGTTTTCATTCACAAATTCAAATGTTGAATGGTCGATTTACCATTTTTCCGTTGTAGTTTCTCCTGTGAAAATTGCAAAGCACAGTTGGCACATCGGAATATCAGCATCAGATCGGATAGTGGTCGTTGTGATAAAATATTTCGTAGAAAATCGTCCAATTTTTTTCCTTCGCCTTTTTCCATTTTATAGGTGCGTTCACGTTTATCTCGTTTGATTGTATCGAAACGAATGCGTATCACATCGGTGCTGATATGTTCACAACTCTCCAACATGGTCATTTTCCATTTGTTTATTGTTTTACTTGTCAGCGAATTTTTTTCGCGAATACTTTGTTCAGATACAATTAAAAATAGATCAATTTGATTTGTCTCGTTGATGACGAGATAAATCGTTTCATTTTCTTCCGAATCCGACGGTGATTCAGGTTCATTGGTCGTTGACGATGGATATAAATTCCTCAAATCTTCATCGTAACTTATTGTTGATTTGAACATTGTTTTCTCCATCGATGATGTATCGTCTGCATTTTTATGGGTTTTCTGTTCACTATTTTCAACACTCTTGAAATCACTCGTTGATGTAACAGGCGACTGGAATTGCTGTTTGAAACAAAAAAAAAAGTTTATTTTCTTTGTAGAGATTTTGATATTTGAATGAATTTACCTCAATTGGTGAGTGAGCAAAGTCAGCATGATTCAATTGTGCTTGAACTGGTGTTGATGTTCGATCTCGATTTATCGGAGACGTATTTTCGAATCCAAAGAGATTTTCTAATCGTTCTTCCGTCGTTTGGATTGATTGTTTTACTGGTGCTTGGTTGGGAGTAATGCCCATTACATCTTGCACCTTTGATGCTCCCTTGCTGTGTAACCATTCGTCACCGTATTCGTTACGCAATTCTTCGATTTGTTGTTTTGTCTTTAAGTGCTCTCGGCATCTCATTTCGTCAATATTCGCCGATGTCGGTATCGGTTTGTCTTGTTTTGGTGGTTTTGATTTTACGATAACTTCGACACCATCGTCGTTATCGTCGTCAGCAATCAATGCAGGTCTTACTTTTATTTTTTTCTGTGTTGATGAGCTTATTTGTGATGTGCTCAACTCATTTGGTAGATCAACTGCAAAGAAACAAAAATATATTAGAATTGTTGGCTTTGAATGTGTGTTTGAATGCAATTGGAATGCAGTTCGAATGATATAGAAGTACAAACCTGTGCTGCCCATGCTATTTTCCAGTTGAAAACTTCGAAACGACCCAATGCTACTAGCTGGTGTCATATCATTTTGTCTACTTGCCGGCGTAGAAAAGCCACTTGAACGTTTTGGCTTTGTTGCTCTATGTTTTATCGACCAATTGTTGAAGCTCTGATAGTATCCGACTAAACTCTTTTCATGTTTATTCAACGGTTGTGAGTCTAAAATAAACTATAAACGAAAAACAGCGATAAATCCCATAATTTATTCATTAAATTCACTTTACCACCATTTACCTTAACACTTGCAACATTTTTGTGTAAATATTTGCACGTTTCTTCCCTGTAATGTGGATGATGCGATATTGGATTGCCGTGCAAAGTGAGTTGTTGCAAAGCAATTAATTGTCCCAGTGGTTCGAGTGCTGCGTGATCCAAAATGCAATTGTCCGCCAAATTAAGTTCGTTGAGTGCTTCAAGTTTTGGTAAACCGCTTAAATTCTCGATAAAATTATTCATCAAAATGAGCGATTGTAGTCGACGGGACGCGATACTTTGTGGTATATGTGACAGATTATTGAAGCTTAAATTTAATTTTTTCAAATTTGGTAGCCATTTAATGGCATCAACACTGTGTATTTGATTATGACTAAGATTCAACTGTTGTAAATTCGATACAAATTCCAGTGAACAGTCGATTGTTTTTAGGCAATTATATGAAAAATCGGCCATTTTCAATTCATTCCATAAAAAACCGTTTGCATTATCGCCACCACAATGGCTAACAATTGATTGTATGCTATTTATACTTTTCGAACAGATTAGCTCTTGTAAATGTGCACGTAACCGTTGGATGCCAACTATTTGTTCGATGGGAATTTTTTGTATTTCCAAACGTTTTAAATTTCGAAATTTTTTTATATCAATATCACCATCGAATGGCTCTTCTGTGGGTATGGCAACTAAACATAAAATTTGAGCTTTTTGCACAAAATCATAGATGATTTGCAAATCACGGAACACTTCTGATTTGGCATTGTTTGGCTTGAGCACCTGAAATGTGTTTGGTGTGCACGTTTCATTTGGATCCGTAATCAATGTGAATGAATCATTCAGTGCGCGCAACAATTGACCGGTCAATGTTATTTTATATTCCGAACTGAGCACTTTATCACCATTATCACGTAGCAATTTTGCCAAACGCGTTATTTGACGTGGATCCATGTTGTTGTTTCTCTTTTTCGCGATGTTTTTTTGTGTTGCTCCTTTGTAATCGGCACGTTTCTACAAAAATCAAAAAAAGGAAGTTAATGTCGTTCTATTTGGATTTTTTTTTTATAAAATAGACAATTAGGACGTTCATCCCATGACTTAATCATATTATGATCACGACAGAGTCGAGTGTATAAAACTGCGCTGCACAAACTCATCTCTGTCTATTCACTATTTGTATGTCATTTTATGGTGAGTCGTTATAGCGTTTGTTTACAAACACTTTTTCACACATCATGAATAACCGACACACATATGTGTAAATACGTCACCATTCGTAATCGATTTGAATGGACCCATTTCACGTTTATCACCACAAAATGTCTTTACTTCTTTTACGATTTTGTGAGATGTATGCCATCTATTTTTGTAATTGTTAGCCACAATACGCCTCGATACGATGACAAGATTATTTCCAGTCAATTGTAAAAATGTTCACATCACGTAATGCAAACGAATGTGTGTACGTAATTTCGATTTCAACTACAGAATAATGTTGGCACACATAGACACATCAATATATTGCCTCGACTCTGTTGGCCCAGCGCACAATCTTCCGTGAGAATGTTTAATCGAATAAAATAGGAAAAAACGACAAGGTATGAAAATTTCACACAACAAAAAACGTATATGAACGCGAATGAACTTGATAAACTGAAGCAAAAAAAAGGTAATTTTTTCGGAAGAACCTACAATTCCAATGTGATTCATTCAATTGATGCAATAATATCGACAAATTTCACTTGAACGCCCAAAAATGCGATTACTTTTTTATTATTTATGCTATTTGAGCTTGAGCTGTGTATCTCCGTACTTCGTCCCTAGCAAATTACGACTGATTCACTTACATTAGCAGTTTCTCTCTTCCGTCACACCACACAATTACAGTTTGCACGTCAATTGCTACAGCGTAAATCAAATTATAAAAATGTGGATTCTCGATTCTTTTTTTTTTCAATCGTTATCCGCATTCAATATTTATGTGAAAATATAGAGAATATACATTGAATTCGTTCCAGTACACTATTTACAAATTCGTTTCGTTTGAATGCAAAACAACCATCAATTATTGCTTCAATTCAATAATTTACACATTTATGCCGTAGTTTCGTTAAATTTCGTTTTATTTTGCGAACGATTTTTTTTCTTTTCGTTCATTCAATATGATTACAACATTTGGACACAACTTATAGATAAATATTTAAAGAGAAATAGACGAAAAAATTAAAATAAAGAAAACTGCACTATAAACTATGACTTATATTTTTTTTTGTTATTCTTTCAGTGTCAAGTTATGTACGAGTGTGCGTATATTAACTTTTTTTTATTTGTTCGTTCATTACGCTTCTCATTCATGCAGTGTGTGTTTGTTGTGTGTCGACGATGTTTTGATCTCTGTCTGTTGTGTATGGCTACCAAACTCGTACCAAATATATGTATAATACATCGTTTGAAATGTCAAACATATGATATACGTTTCATTGAAATATTCCATATACACAGGGGGCACCACCTTACAATTGATGCAAGTGCGCAGCAATAACATTCAAAAGCAAAAATTTTTTAAAAGAATGTAAACAAAACATTGAATATAAATTAAAGGTACAGTAAATTCGATGTAAAATTGAGTTTGGAAATATTTTCATTATATTTTACATCGAATGAACCGAAGATGAAGAAATTTATTCAATTGAAGCATTGAAACGAGTAAAAAAAATACCACATACACTTTTCTATTTGGCCTATTTATTGTTGAATATGTTTAGCCAAAAAATATTTATTTCATTCAAATCGAATAATTGCTTTGTATTTGTTTTTTGTTCACTTCCAGTAAATATCAGAGTCGAAAATATGCTTTTATCTCAGTTGTAATTGCATACCATCTACATTTTTATACAATTGAATTTGCGTTGAATATTATTTAAAGCAATTTATCCTTCTTATGCTATATCCTTTTGTTTAACTCTATCAGTGGGTTCGAAAAGGTTTTTTTTCAGTTTGACTTCTTCAGTTGTGATACACCTTCTTCAGCAAAATAACCATACGAATCAAATCCTGAAACTTTATTGCAGACAGGTGCCTTTTACAAAATCAACAGTTTTCTTACGAACTCGGCGATAGATTTAAAACGGACTTAATTAATTATAAATAAAGGAAATAGGACTAACAAAATCACATGAAAAAAAAAGTTAATTGGTTTAGAAAAAAGGTGTTTATCGAATGGCCAAAAACTCTGACACCCAATCAAGATTCTCGTAAAACCGTGGGTCGCTCATTTTTAGGGCAGCTCTTTTGTAGGTGTAATAATAAAATGCTGAAACTGAAATCGAATTTAAAAAATTAGTTTTTTTCTTTAAATTTTGACTTTGTTCATGAAAAAATTCGCGACAAATCAAATTTCATACAGATTCTCTGAATGATAAATAAAGTTGTAAGTGATGTGGACCAATCATGTCGGTTGGGAGTTTTGTGATGATCGATAATAATCCAGATATGATGTGACAAGGTCAAGATGAAATATATGCCCAACACTATGAGAGAAGTACGGAATTTGCTGTAGAGTAGTTCAGCGAGACCAGCCTAAAAGCGTCAATGCATTGATTAATAACTCTGTTTATTTTAAATATAATTTTGCATACTTGAAACACATATGTCGAGTAGAGACTGAACAGGAGAACAGTAAAGGCGAGCACCAAACAAATGTCTTGCAAACTGTAAAAAAACACACTCATTTAAAACATTGTTGGAATTTGATGGTCGCATCACTTACAGAAAGAGAAAAATTACTGTCGATTTACGGTCGCGAGCGAGGTAAGAAAAACTATTTATCGCCTAAAAAACATAAAAATACACAATGAATTTGATTTTCCTGTTTGATGGAAATTTACGCGCCTCTTCAACACGTATGACGTACCAAATCAATGACCAGTATCAAACACTGAAAAAATAAAACTACTGCAAATCGTCGAGTCGATAGTTTAATCATGTTTCTTTGCAAACTTAATTTCGGAGTACAATCAATGACAATTTATTGAAAATTAAAAATTAATGGAATTTAACTAAAAATGTTTAGCAAATGGGTTCATGGCTTTTGATTTGATATTTTGAAAAGAATTTTCTCTACTTCGTATGATATGTAGGTAGAAGAGGAAGTTTTACGTCAATTTTCGGTGATTCCAATAACAAGACTCCCTCCCACATAGAAACCAACATGAAAAAAATGGGGAAAAAGGATATATTTCATGCACTTGCGCCGTTTGCATCGTTTCGTATACTGAAATCCTGAAAAAAGAGAAAAATTATGACATTTCTGATGATTCAAATACAACGTAAAATCGATCTTCGTCAACAGTGAATGTTTTTTTAAAAAAATTAATGCAAAATACCGTTATTTAAAGCATAATTTCGCCCAACAGATTATGCCATTTAAAAAAAAATGATTGAATAGTTGTATTTTCAACGGTACGTTTGCAAGTCAAATGTCAAAATGTGTATACGCTAATGTTATATGACAACTGTTGTTCGAAAAAACAAAATGACTCAGTGAGCGGCAACAATAAGAAATAACAAACTACACCGAGACTTTCGAAAATGACTCAAACAAATCGCATCGATGTACGGCATATACACACATATCCGAATTCATCGAATGTGTGTTGAGTGAAAGTTGTGTGTTAGTTTGTTTCATTCAATGCGAGTGCTCATTTGTTTGTTTCCCGATCGCGAAGAGTAGTGTGTGTCGAATAAAAGCGCAAAAAAAACCTTCTGTGAAAATGTATAAAGAAATCGAATTGATATTCGATCAAAAATTAAAAAACAAGTGAATACATGAAATTAAAAACGACGCAAACAAATCGAAATTCGGGGCAACAGTGTAAAAGCAGTTGTGTTGGGAAAAAATTCAAAAATAAAGCGAGCGAAAAAAAAAAAAAAACAGAGTGTGTGAGCCATTCAACAACTCGAATCAATTGGAAAAATGGCGTCCGTAGATAAATCATTGGACGCAGCAAATATTGATGATAATGCGGAGACAGATGCAACGTCATCGTGTCTGAACGATCCAAACTATGCAATAATTTGTGTATTTCTACAAAAATTTGGTGGCCAATTGAAAATCGAGCATCCGGACTTTTTGCGATTACAGAAAATGATCGAAAATACGGACGAGGGTAAGGCCATACAATTCCAACAACAACAACATCGAATGCTATACACACATAGTATGACTGCATGTGTGTGATTGTATGTGTGTGTGTGTGCGTGTGTCGAAGTCGCGTTGGCTATACACTAACGAGTATATATGGTGACGAGTGTGTGATGCCTCCTCAATGGCAAGCGTACGTTTTGAGTGATTTTCATGTGTGTGCGTGTGTGAATGTGTTTTGTTTGTAGACGGTTTTTTTATTCGGCATTGAGCATTTTTCAACACTGGCTTTATGAGTTAAATGTGTGAAAATAGAAGATTTCTTTTCTTACCATTGCATCTTGTGACTTTCAATACATAGTTTACAAACGATTAACAATGAAAAATAATACAAACTATCATTTGTCGCCCTTCGGCATTCTCACTCAATTTTATTTCAAAGACGAGTGCTAATGTGTATGTTTCGATGTATTTGTTGATGTTTTTAATAATGCCAGAATTACGAATTCGAATGCATGAAGCATTCATTTTGAACGCCTTCAAATATTCAATATATGTATAGGAGCCATAGAAAAAATCTTATTCGATTCGAAATATGACCAATTATTCTTTTATTTTTTATTTTGAAAATGTGCATCTGTAGTGTATGACAGCACCATATTCATTGATTTGCCCGTGCAATTTTTTTAATTGTCAATGCCAGTTTAAAGAGAAATGACTAGTCGCTTTTAATTGATAGAACATTTTACTTGGCATAAAAACAAATCACACATTAATTGCAAATCATTAACACTCATTCTTGGAATTCTATGCATTTGTATACAATTAACTCTAGCTTGAGTTGAGAAATATCCAAGTGTAATTTCGAATTATCTATAATCGACCGGTACTTATCGATTTTATACATTGTATTTGCAGTTCATGATGAGTTAAAACAATTCTTTGTTAAACTTCTGCGAAAGACGAGAAAAAGTGTTCAGCCAGACAAACTGGATTCGGCGCTTGCCAAATTTTGTTACACATACTCTGCACAAGATGCTTGGGAAGTCGAACGATTTGGTTACAAAAAATCAAGTTTGGCCGTTAAGCTACGGATATTAAAGGTATTTTAACATTTTTAACGTGAGTTTTAATCGATATTTTACCGATGACATTGTTCGTTATTTTAGGAGGTTCTAGAGAGTCAATTCGATAAGAATCCAAATTTTCGTACGCTAATCAGTGCGCAGACAGCAGCTGAACTTCGAAGTCAACCATTGGGCAAAGATAAGCTAGGCAATGCATATTGGAGCATAGTGGACGAACAGTGCAATTTGCGTATATATCAAGAGCATTTGGATGAAGAAATTTGGAAAGTGGTTGCAACGAATCGCGATGAAATGGCCAAATTAATTACATGCCTTCGTGGCAATGAGCTGGTTATGCCATCACTTGTTGGTATTATCGATGAAGACAGCAGCAGTAATAGTATGCCGGCAAAAGTTGATGCATTACAAAATGAAAATGGCACCAACAATACCACCAACGATAGTGACGATAAAAATGTACCATGTCTTAAAATAAAATTGAACTCAAATGGCGGCGAATCGACCGTTGAACAAATATCAAACAGTGACAATACAAACGGTGCTAAAAATCCATCACAAAACGATAGCATTGAAGACGACGATGGTGAGGAAGAGGAGGAGGATGCAAGCATTATGTCAGAAATTGACGAACAATCACAGGCAGCTAGTGAAAGCAGTGCAACTACCGTTGGAACAAAGTCAAATGTAAGTGCACGACAAATGTACACATTATTAATAAGTTTATTCATAAAAATGGTAAGCTAATGATATTTTTTTTACAGGAAACACAAGGATCAAAGCGAATATCATTGATGGCCTCGAAACCACCGTCAAATGCAAATAAATTAAAACTACGAATATTTGCCACCGATACGAAAACAACAAAACGCAGTTTAGACGATGATTCGGATACGGCAGGTAGCAAAAATAAACGACCAGCGATGCAAGATAAAAAGAATGGAGAAGACGATGACAGTGAATTCGACAGTGAAGAAATGTCTGATGAAGAATTGGATGAGAGTGGCAATGAAGGAAGCATTGGTCAAGCCATTGAAGAGCCAACGATGTATGTGCAAGGCGAAGGATCTGGGACGGATAATAATTGTGAAAATACCATGTGGTTAGATTGTTACAATGATGAATGTGATGACAATGACGTTGGTGAATCGATTGAAGAGGAGATAATTTATGTATTTGGCGAAGGAAGCGGACGGGATTGTGATGTTGGAAACAATGACATTAAATCAACCGAAACACCGCCGAGCAGCAGTGCAACAACAGCACCACCACAGCCGGTTGTTCAAAGTAAACCAATGTTTTTCTTTGGCACAGCTGGCTGTTTAAAACTCAGTCCAATGAAACCAGTTGTTACCGCGGAAGATTCGTCCGCCACACATGAAAATAAAAATGACATCGAAAATGAAAAATGTCAAGAGTCTTCTTCATCGTCAATTGCTAACGAATCCAGTACCAACGATACAAATTCAATTGCCTTAGATGCCAAAAGTGAATGTTCCGCACCGGAAAATACAGCAAACAGTACCGATGAAACGGATAAAGGAATCTCAATTAATAACGAAACAGTAGCCATTCTCGCAAATGAACCACAAAACAATGTTGGCGATAAAATCGATAGCACATCAACTTCCAAAAATGATTCAACAACAAATGAAAACAAAACACAAATTGAAGCCACAACGCACGCCGACGAACAATTGAATGTGACGGCTTCGAGTGAATCATCATCGGCTGCGACAATAGCAAATGAAAGTTCTAAAGAAAATATCGAATCAAATAGTTCAGTGGCCTTAGCTAAGATATCAGTACAAGAAAGTGAATCGATTGAAGAAGAATCATTGCCTACGACAAGTACAGTGTTGCAAATTGAAAGCGATTTATTATCGAACGATAGAGAAAATGATAGTTGCCTAGAAAAGCAATGGCCAGAACCTCGGGTGCCCAATGACAAGGTGGCAATTGAAAATCAATCCGAAAATAAACTTAATGAAAGTAGTGAAATTGTGAATGAAACGAACGATTTGGCAAATAAAAGTGAACTGGAGAATGATAATCAAAGTAGTGTAAGTCAATTTGAAAACGAACCAAGTGGTGAACAAGCAATCGAATTTCCTACTTCCAAAACTGATGTGATTGCCGAAATAAATGAGCCATCCGAACAAGTACAAGAAACAAACGATTTAACCGAACGAATTGAAAGCGATGTTACGCCTTTGGTTGAGGAAGAAGTTCCACAAAAAACAGAAAATGAATGTTCAAATGTAGTGGATAATGAGAGCAATAATCAAGTTAAGACTGATAGCCCAAACGAACAAAATGCTATTGATTCGGAACCAATTGGAAAATTGTCACCAGTTCAAGAAACAAGTGAACAAAGTGTTTCGAATGTTATTGAAGAAACAGAATGTAAAGAGCTAGAAAATAATCCACCTACATCCATTGAAACTCCAATTGAATTGCCTAAGCAAATCGAAAACACCATACAAGATGAAACACCATCCGAACAAACGGCTGAATTAATTGAAGCCGAAGAAACGCCCAAACAACCAGAAGTGACCTCAGCACCAATTGAAAGCCACAATGAACAACCGCCACTTTCCCATGAAAGCATTGAACAACAAATTGAAGAACAAAGTGAGGAACGAATTGAAAGTCCATCTACACCAATTGAATCTGTGGTGAATGAATCTCCCAAAACACCTTTAAATGAAATTGACCACGAAGAGCCGGAGCTGGAACCGGAGCCAATTTCGAATGAAACTATCGATAGCGAGTCCATTCCGAGCGATATAATTGAATCCACTTCAATCGCATGCGAACCGGAAGCCATCGAGCAAAATAAAAGTGAGAAAGAGGTCGTTTCAATAGAAGTCTCTGATCTCGTTAGTGAATCACAACCCGAACAATCAAAATCCGAAGACGCATTAGAAGACCAAAATGTAGCAGAGCCACAGACAACTACTACTACTGAATTGATGCCGGTGCCAGTGATTGAAAAGCGAAAATCGATCGATCAAATTGAAGAAGCATCCGAACGTAAAAAAATTTGCGAAGAAAAGGTGACCGAAGAGTTTGAACAGCCGCCAACACTCGAAGAAGAAAAACCAATCGAAATTCCATCAATAAGTCAATTGGAACCATGTGTTTCCAATTCAGCCGAGGAATATGCAGAGATTACTGACAAAAATGAAATAGCTCAATCTGATTTCAATGCGGCGGAGGTGCCAAATCAGTTGGAAGCAACAAAATCATTGGGAGAAGTGACATTGATTGCTTCAAACAAGGAAGAATCATCCACAGATTCCGTGGAAACCAAAGTTGATATTTGGCATGAAACATCAAAAATCGATCAAGCCGATTTACCTGACAAAGTCTTAGTTGCTTCGGTCGTAAGTGAGGTACCAGCAATTGTAAGCGAAAAAGAGCCGGTGTCAATCGAAACAAATGTGGAAACGACAGAGGTCACAGAAACGCAAGAAAGTGTATCAATTGTTCAAAAAGATCAAAAAGAAGAAGATGCAACTCAAAACACACGATCTGCCCAATTACGAAATCGTAAGCGTCGAATATCGGGTGAAAAGGCACGTCATTCGTCGGAAAGTGATGATAATAATGATGCATTAATCGAGTCACCACTGTCACAAGACGCTAGCAGTGACGAAGAAGTCGGCGGAAAACGTATTAAGATGCGACCAAAAACGGTGAAGAGAACGTTACGCAAATCGGTTGAACAAAAACGTAATATCAAAGACACTGATTGGAGCAGCGATGAGAATGAAAAACCGAACGCGAAACGAGCAACAAACGATATTTCGAAACAAACAGAAAATATATTACCATCACCGGAACAAAATGCACCTGATGTTAAAGAGAAAAAACCATCGCCTATCAAAGAGGAAAGTGTGGGGCCGGCAGAAAAAAAGGTAGAAGCACCAAGTGCGAGTGAAGAGACAAAAATCAAAGCTGAAGAACCCGAAGAACCGGCCGAACATCAATCTGATGAAGAACAAGGTATGATAAATGAATTTTATAAATTTGTAAGTATTCCGCATGTAATTTGCTTTGTTTTCGAATAGCCACACCAACTCGTCGTCCAGGTCGACCGGCTCGACGTGGCAGAAAACCAGGTCCAAAACCAAAACAAAAACCAGTGGAAGAGGTCAAAGTCGATGAGATAAAAGAGGAATCCAAAGAAGAAACAACCGAACAAACTGAATGTATGAAAGAAGAGAAAATCGAAACGCCATCCATCAAACCGGAAACACGAAGAAAAAAGAGAAGTTTGCTTGGTTTGGATATTGCTGAAATTGAATCGGCACAAGCAAGTATTGATGAGACTCCGGTGCGACAATCACGACGAATTGCACAAATTAAAATTCGCGAAGAGGCCGAACGCCGTAAGGCCGAAGAGGTTGCACTGCAAAAGATGAAAGAAGCATCGGAAAAGAAGAAGAAAGGTGTTGTTGTCAAAGAAAGCGAATCGGAAGAGGAGAATAGCGAAAGTGAGGTAAAATTGGAGAAGAAAAAACGACTTAAAAAGGTCAATAAGGATAAACCATGGCAAACCAATTCGGACGATTCAAGCGAACGGGAAGAGGAAGATGTTTATGAACATGAGGATGTTGAACGTTTACCACCATTGGGATCGGATCATGAATTTTCACCCGAATCCGACATTGAAGATGAATCACAAATTGTACCAACAAAACGTGCACGAACTGCACGCAAGGATAAAACGGAGCGCCGCGAAGAAGAATCGGAAGAAGAAGAGGATATTCATGCCTGTCAAAAATGCAGTAAAAGCGATCATCCCGAATGGATTTTATTGTGCGATAAATGTGATAAAGGTAAAGTTTTAATTCATTTTCACTACAGAGAAATGTAAATATATATATTAACGATTTTGATTCTTCACAGGTTACCATTGTTCATGCTTGATTCCAGTGCTATTCGTTATTCCCGAAGGAGATTGGTTCTGTCCGCCATGCCAACAAGATAAACTGATCGATCAATTGGAGGCAAAACTTATCGAGTACGATAATATGGTGCAACAGAAAGAAATTGAAGAAGCACAACGTCAACGATTATTGCTAACGACAATCAGTGAAGCAAATGTTATAAAAGATACAAGACGAGATCGTCAACGTTCACGCGCTCAAGATATCGGATCGGATGACACAGATGAATCATCGTCAACGGACGAAGAAAGTGAGGCCGAAGGAAAGGCAAACAATAGCGAACGACGAACAAGACCGCGAACAGAACGACAACGTAATCGAATTGAAAGCAGTGAACATAGCAGCAGTGACAATACATCGGACAACGAACCAATTTACAAATTACGCAAACGACGTCAAGCCAATGTTAGTTACCGATTTAACGAGTACGATGAACTGATCAATCGTGCCATCAAATCGGAAATGGATGAAGTGGCCGGTGCTGGTAATTTGGGACGTGGCAAAGATATATCAACCATTATCGATGCGGTTAAAGAAGAAAAACGTCTGAAAAAACTCGAAGAACAGCAAAAAGAACGTGAACTAGCTGGTGAAACAAAGAAAAACGATGATAAGGATGATGATGGTAATGATAATGATTCGGATGATCAACCGTTGAAATCGAAAGCCGATAAGTCTGATGGTAGCGATTCAGAACCGATTCGACCGAAAGCGATTAAGCGTTCAAAGAATATAAGCAAAAAGAAGAAGAAACTGAATAGTTTGGACATTGATTCAGAGGAAGATGCCGATTCATCAGACGATGACTTCAACACCAGCTCCTATTCCGATGACGAAGAAGAAGACGATTCAAGTGCGCCTAGTGAAAGTTCATTGGACAGCATTGTGAAGAAGAAAAGAAAAGGTTAGTCTTTTCTGCATATTTTTTACTTTTCCACACACACACACGTGTGTAAGACGATTGTATTGTTTGTCAACGATTTTTCATTTATCGAATTTCTTTGTTTTTTTTTTTTTTATTTGTAAAGGTCGTGGCGGTATATCAACTCGACGTTCGGTTCGTGAACGTAAAAAGCGATACGATGCTGATTTCATCGATGATTCATCGTTTGATGATGAAGATAATGTTCCACTTGTGAAGAAGAAGAAGAAAGTCGAATCGGATTTTGATGAATTTGACGATAGTTCGGAAGAGCTAGAGGAAGACGTTGATAGCGATGATTTGTGTGACGACAGCACCGATGAAAGTGACAGATCTTGGGGAAAGAAGAAAAAGAAAGCATCGTCATTCAAAAGTAGCGGCAACAATAAAAATCGTAAGAAGAAGCCAGATGGTGAGCGATCATTCAAAGGCAAAACCGCAAAGAAAAAATCGAAAATCTCCGATGATGATGATGACGACGACACTGATGAAGAATATGGCGATGAAGTGCTGCCAAAAAGTCGTCGAACACGTGGCAAAAAACTGCCATATCTATTGGACGACGATTTCGATAGTTCAGACGATGGAATTAAGCCCGGAGTTAAACGTCCAGGTAAGATTTTTTTTCTTTAAAAAAATACTTTGTAATGAAACAAAGAAAACAAAGTAAATAAATGAATATTTTGACTGTAGATACACCGCCAGAAGAACGTGCTGCATTCATAAAGAAACAAGAGGAAATCAAGCGAATGTTAGCTGAAAAAGAAAATGACGATAAATCACTGCAAATTCCACCGCCACAAAATGATTCGTTATCAACGATACCACCTCAAATCATCCAATCAGCCAAAGCGCTCGATGTTGATCTAAAGAAATCGGCCATCTTACATCGAAATGCCAGCGATAACGATTCGAATGGTTTCGATGATGATTTGCCAGAAGATTTTGATCCCGAAGACATGGACGAAGATGCGATTGCCAAAATGATGGAAGAAGAAGAATTTGCACAACAACAATTAAAATTGGCCGGTGAAACTATACGAAATCGTAAACTAAAAGATGCATTAACGGATCCAATGAAAAAAGACGATTCACCGACCAAATTAACCATTGAAACTGGTGCAAGCGTTATATTGCCAGTGAATATACCTCCATCATTGGTATCGCCATTACCACTGACAGCGTCACAATTAACAATACCCGATATTCCACCATCAATGTATACGGCACAATTTCAAGGTGCAAACAGCAAACAAACAACAACACCAAAAAAACGGGGACGAAAAACAAAAGACGACATTTCACCAATTATCGCACCATTATCAAAAGAACCACATCCACAAATACCAACAATACAACATACATCAATTTTAACACCAAACAAACCAAATACTCCACTCAATATGCCATCAGTATTACAGCATGCGCTCACACCACAATTATTCACATCGCCAACCATTCAACATACATCGTCGGTCATTGCTCATTCGTCGGTGATTCAACAACAACAACCGCCACGGCTGCCGCCAATGCAACAAACAGCTGCATCGGCCATGCTGGGCCTAGCACAAGCTCGTGATCATATTATACCATCAACATTGAACGTACAAAATACACGACTATTGGATCCATCCGAACTTGGCAAGCCACCCGAAGATTTACTCGATCCGTCGGCGAAAAAACGAGCACGAAGTAGAAAAAAGATTACACCGACCAGAGAATCATTGACATCACCGCCAAATGTTACCGTTTCACCGGGTGGTATCACTCAATCAACACCAGTCACAATACCAAATGTTCCGAACGTATCGAAACCACCATCATCCATCTTATCGGAACGGTTATCAGCCAATCCAGGTACATATTCTTCTTTTTTTTTGCGAAAAAATCACGCATTAAATTGAAAATTACTGTATTTTTCTTAAATTAGTTGATAAAGCCGGACTATCAATCGCCACTCCACCATCACTATATTCAGCAAGCAGTCGATCTCAAGCATCGGTCATTACACGATTGACACGACCATCACAACGACAACCTTTCCCATCTGGTAATTGTGCAATCATGCATTAATTCGTGTATAATAGTAATTGATTTCTAATGAAATTTTCTTCATTATTTCAGGACAATCTCCGCCACAACGATATTATGCACCAAACACATCAATGCCACCACATTCGATACCATCAACGGCAACTGGAGCACATTCACGACCATATCATACGCCAAACGTAACCGTTGCCTCAGGTCAAAGACCACCGCCTTTAGTTCCACCGCCTCACGCAAGCAGTCATCTACCACCTCATCCAATGTATATGTCAGTTTGGTTACGATAATTTAGCTTAAAAAAAACACACACAAAAATAAAACTAAATAAATATTCTTTATTTATAGGCGAGGGCAACCTGGTATTTATGGCGGCTATCCAAATATTCAACCACCGCCAATGCATCGATCATTACAATCACTCGAACATGCTACGAATTCCCCACAAAATTTCCCAGGTAAACCGAAATCATTGACTTTTGAACTGAATGAATCGAAATCGATTGAATGATTTATTTTTTGTCTTTGTATAGGAGCATATCAAAATTTGCCATTTGGTGGTTATTATGCGGCAGCTGCAGCAGCCGATCGAAGATCAGGTGCAATAATTGGTACATTCGAACCATTTGATAATAAAAATCCATCGGCTCACGATCGATTGCCAGCGTATGCACATCCAAGCCTCGGTTTGGCCGCATTGGCCGGCCGAAATCCAACCGGAGATGGTGATGATGAACGTGGACAGCCCGGTGCTGGCGGTAGCACAAGTGAATTTAGTGGTTTGGTTAGTTACTTCAGTTCGCAACAAGATGATTTGGATTCATAAATGTCGAGATCAAATCAATACACACACACATGCGCAATCCACACACAAACACTTTTAAATCGTAAAGCCATGATTTCATTTAGTCATTGACGAAGTAATAAACCATTGCAGAAACTACTACTTAATTAGATTTAAACAGATTTAGTACTCGTTATTTGAGTTGATTTTATAAAAATGGACGAGCAAACATTGTTTAGTAAATCGATAGAACAAAAAATGAAACACACACACAAACACACAAACACAGCGATGTAGTCACAAACATCACGCACCTACTCAAATGTACGACAACCCCCGCGTACAAAGAAAAATACAAATCATGTTCCATAAACAAAATAAAAAACCCACACCAATTCACACGTTACATAAATACATTTGTATGATATAAAGCTATTTAGATGAGAAGAGTCAAATGTTTATGGTTTTTGCATAGAATTTGAAATTTAGTAGAGATATAGTGTCTAATTCGTGTAATATAATTGAAAACAAATCTTATGCAGAAAGACGATGTTCATCATATTTCTCTGATAAATCAACTGTTACACGACAAATTTAACTCACAAATTAAGTTTAGCGAATCAAAAAAATAATTATAATATTGTAGTATTTATGTAAGAATAATTTTGTCTTTTTGTTTCTCTACTCCATTTCGCTTTGACAAGCGATCATTGATTTTAACCTTGCAAAGTGTAAAAAAAAATTTATACATTTAACCAGATTGATAAATTTACAGAATAGAATTTAAATCCAAATGGGAAAATGTATTTTTATTTATTTTCGTATTAGTCAAGTAAATAATGAAACAACAAACACATAATCAAATTTAATATGTCATCCGCTGACAGTGTCAATGTAAGTAATCCCTTTCCATGATATAAAATGATATTTATATAGTATATATGAAAGCAGCTTGTGCAAGCTACAAAATGATTATGATTATTGTAATAAAACTAAACAATACAAATCCTAGACACTTTTTATTTTAAAATAATTTCCATATATTAGTTTGTCCAATGTCAGCGTAGAAGTATCGTTTTCACAAGACAAACGATTTAATCGTCGGTAGTTATAATTTTTAGTTAAAATTTAAGCAATAACACCATGAACAAAGTTTTCATGAATTTAATTTACAATTCAGTTCCCAACAAAAAAATAAAAGAATATTAAACAAACATCAACAACATAGACATAAATTTTTATTATTTATTTGGACGAACGAAAAACTAAATTATTTACAATAATAAAACAAAAAATCATTTAAATACATGAATTGCATTTTTATTTGGAGACAAAAGAAATACTTTGTTTTTTTATAGCTCAAAACTCATAAAATCAAAATTCACTAAAAGTATCACTAACACCGGATATTTGCACCCGTTCTCAGCTTGAATATGTAACTACTTCTATCTCAAATTGGAATTGCTTCAAATTCAGAATGTCTACAAATCAAAAAGTGATAGTAATTTTTCAACGTCTAAACATGATTGAATTGTTTTTTTTTTTAATTTTCTTATTCCAATTTTTCATCGGAATAGTCTTAAAATGATCAAAGTTGTTGCGAAGAGACAAAAAGGAGTGAAAAAAATACTTGTCAAGAAAATAGGTTTAGAGTTGAGATTTTTGCTGAAAGCAGGCTTTTTGTTGATATTTTTGTAAAAATTTAATTGTTTTTGTTCGATGAACCTTGTTTCATTTTTTTTTTACTTTTTATTAAGAAATAACATCACAAAAATACTGCATTCAAAATCTTAAAAATGTTTGAATTTAAGGTGAAACATGAAAATTACTTGTTTTATCATCTATGTTATATATATTTTTTTATAATTTTGATCATTAATATCGTGCTGGAAGTTTGTCATCGTAATAATAAGAACAGAAATCGTCAAATTGAAATCTAATATGAATATTTTTGTAGTTTTCACCGGCCTCAAAAAATCTGAAATAATGCATGTTTTGTTATAGATCATGTTAACCTTAACATAGCTGTCAAAAATCAGTTTTTTAATCGCTCCAACAAGTTGATTTGAAGAAAAAGCAACATGTTGAGTTTGCTAGTATTGAAAAAGGGCTCACACTTCTTCTGTAAATGAAGCTAAAAAGCATTTATCGCCTCTTTAGCTCAGTGGTAGAGCACTGGTCTCGTAAACCAGGGGTCGCCGGTTCAATCCCGGCAGGAGGCACTCACTTTTTTTTATTTCATTCAATTCAGAGACATATGTTTTACTCAGTTTTATACATTGTGCACTGAAATATGTTTACAAAGAGAATTTTATAATCCATATTTTCCAGTTTCATTACTACTCGATACTTGCGCATAAAGCGTTGATGACGTAAACGAAAGCGCTATAACGCAATACAATCAATTCTGAAATATAAGCTTAATATCAATGATAAATTATTGCTTTCGTCGCACTTTGGGAAACGGAAATTTATTTCGCTTGTCTTGATTTACTTTATGGTATTGTTAAGGGGAACAATAAATTAAACAAATGGCAAGCGATAATATACGATAGAACATGTGCAACTTACCAAAAAAAAATTTTTTTAACTTTCGTTTAAACATTGAATTTGCTAGTTTTTAAACGGAAATTGTTTGAAATTATTTTAGATTAGAAGCGAATCATTTGACGAAAATGAATTTACATTTAGTTTAGAGTTTTGAGGATATTGTTGACTATATTTTTCATTTCCTGTGAATATTTCCCATCTGAGATTTGCCTACAGTTTCAATTCACAATTAATCAGAGGCGTTTTGTCAATAATAAACCTGAAAAATTTAAAATGAAAATTCATAAAACACTCTTTTTCGATAAATTTGGCACTTAATAAATAATTGGAAATGTAAACAACACAAAGAAACAGAATAAAAAAAATCTGCCTCCTGCCAGGATCGAACTAGCGGCCTCTGGTTATCATGTTTGTTTTTCAATACAAGACCAGCGCTCTGCCACTGAGCTAAGGAGGCGTGTGAAACAAGAACGATTATTTTTCTATTGCTGTCAAACGCGCCTATTTACTTTCATCTATCGAAAGACTTCTCAATTGGAAATGGGCAAAACCAAAACAATCGCTCTATTTTATTTCCACAAAAGTAAGTGTCGGGTATAATAGAGTTTTTTTGCTATTAGAGATGATAGACACTTGACATTATTGCGAAAATATAATAAAATAAATTTGATATAATCGGATGATATAATTAAAGTTTAATTTTTATCTTTCGCTTAATTTCAATTCATTTTTTAAGATTTTGTTCATTATGATATTAATCAAAATAAAAAGTAAATAAATTCAATTTGAAATTGAGGTTTTATTTCGTACCGACCTTTTTCGAAGCTCAAACTGTTTGAAGTGTCATCGGGATACACTTAAATTGAATGACACATAGCAACTGTCAAAGTCTAGGAAGAACCAGCGATTGAAAGCCTTTATTTCACTTTTCACGGAGCGATAAAATTCAAACCAAAATGATTCGAACATTTTTGATCCAAGCAAAAAAATCATTCGATTTCCCGGTGCGATTCTGCACAAATACACCGATTGTCAGAAAACCAGGTAAAGAATTAAATCTGAATTCAGTTCCAAGACGTATCGTGTTCTTCGATTTTGAGGTTATATTTGAAATTTAAAAATAAATGATCAATACGTTAATTTCTCTGTAGATATTAATGAAGTAAGAATAGTTGGAACATTGACTAAAGAACCCTTCATTCTCAAAAGTGGAACCTATTCACTCTCAATCAAAACAGAGGAGTCAGATTCAAAATAGTAAGTTCCCTTCCAACTTTTTTCTTGTTATGATTATTTATATTAGGATAATTTCGATACGCATTATTTTTCCACAATAGTACTTGTCACAATTTACTTCTTCTATTATAGTACTATTCATAATGTCCACACGAGATTTGAACCAAGTATTACACCCGGCGAACGAATTCACGTCACCGGAAAATTATTTTCTATTCCAGTCGAAATGAGTGATGGAAAAACTGTGACAGAAGTCGTAATTAAAGCGTATAAAACGCATACATTGGACAACAGTGATTCATTGGAAAAATTGTATGACGACAAAAGTTTTCTTGACAGTCTTAAAAGTTTGGTTGCTTCTGATGTATGTTGCTCTTCTGACGACATAAATTTCGTTGAAATTCTTGGTAATGTTGCTTCTCATGTATTGTTCAAAGACGAATATTGCTCATTTGTGGCAGCAACTCATCGCCCATCATCGTGAGCATTTTTTGGAATTGTTTTTTGCTCGAAATTTTCAACTCTTTCGGGTGGTTCTAATTAAAAACATGTTGTTTATTTTTCGTTATAGAAATGAGCGAGGTGAGGTGATTTCTAAAGCATGTTTTCATCAAGTATATGTATATGATGAATGTGTTCGAAAATACATTGAAAAAAATGTCACAAGAAGAGATCGAATTCTTCTCACCGGCAGACTTGGCCACAGAACACACGAATATCCAGATGGTCGACGATTGTATACCGGTTGTATTATTCCGAAAAATGCTTTTAAAATTAAACGCCCAATAAAATCGGAAAATAAGGAAGTGTTTGAACAATATTGAGCAATATCCAAATGGAAATATTTTCCTTCATAGTTTCATAATGTTCGCAAGTAAAAAAATTAAATAAATACATAGTATATTTGATTGCCTTTGCCCGAATGTTTGATTATCAAGATTTTGTTATTCCTTCTTGAATTCATTACAACAGCAATCCTTCATGTGGATATTCTTCACCTTTTTATTTAGTTTACAGCGTTTTCATTTGTTATATCATTAAAGAAAAAAAAATACTTTTGAAATTTGTTTTGAAATCAAACCCATAGTAACGGATGACAAAAGTGAGTAAATGCGGCCAAAATTCGTCGACAAACTGCCGTAATGTACTTCTTTTTTGGACTCACAAAAAAAAACTTATTCTAAAAATGGAGCGTCACTTATTGAACTACTGTTCTTCATGTTATACAGAAAAATGACACTGGAAATTTCCACGAAAAAAGTTTAACATTTTATGCATTTCCTTTTTTCGACACTATTGGTTGTACCATTGAAGCAAACCGTTGAATTGGATACTACCGTTCATAAATCTATTCAATAATTCACACTATGGAAATAATACAAATGCAACTGATTTCCCGTATACAATGAGTGAGTTAAGCAAATTAAGAAGCCATAATACATGGCATGTATTAAGTTGGAGTTAATAGTGTAACAAATGCGCCGGGACCAAAAAATATATATTTTTTTACTTTTTTTCTATTTTTGTCATGCAAATATCCAATTCGATTTCGACGAGAATAAAAATACTGAAAAAAAAAGTAGCAAATGAAATATTTCATAAAAAAGTTTAAAAAAAATTCGGTCTAAACAGAGTTCAATGGATTTTTTACAAAAAAATGTGGAACGCTTCATGCTTTTGCGTGTCATCCTTGCGCAGGGGCCATGCTAATCTTCTCTGTATCGTTCCAATTTTAGTATATGTTCTCCACAAGGGAGAACGAATATAAACTATTTCAGATCGCATATATACTTATTTCTGGAAATTCGAAGTTTAGTGAATTATAATTTTTTCTCAAATAAAAAAATCCGAGACACAAACAACGTCATATGCTTAAGCATTGAGGTGTGCGTCTTTGATGGTTTAGTTTGTGTTTGTGCTTTGTATTGGTTTGTTGTTAGGATAAACACTATGTTCAATTGTTTATTCATTTGAACTAATTCAAAAGAGATATATATTTTTTTTAGACAAAAAGTCAATAAATTAAATGTTTCTTTGATCAAATTAAGGTTTGAAAGGATTTGACTTATTTTAAAAAATCGTTGAATGTGATCATTACAAATTTATTTTCTCTGTCATGTTTTTTATATCAATTTTATGTATCAAAAAATTATTTGTATCTACAGGAAGCAATAGTTTAGACAACAATTTCCTCACAACGATCATAAAATTGAAATTATTATTTTTGTTGACAATGAATACATCAAGCGCCGGCATTTGCGTAATAAGTGTCTTTTATGTAGTATATTGCATATGACATTTGACATTTATGTAAATACAAACCCAACTATCGATACAAGAAAAAGAAAATCAAACAAAAACGAAAGTGATAGAAAAAAATGATGTACGATCATATGGAGAAGTAAACTCTAAACCACACAGATCATTGTTGATTGTAAAAATTGTAAAAGTACCGTCGATACGTGTACGAGAACAAATCTGTTCATTATGTATGGACCAAAACTCACGTTTTCGCTAAAAAGAAATTTTTGTTGTCGAATTGATGACGTTAATAGTTAAAAAACAAATATGCACCTCATTAGCTTATAATAAGTCTTATCGCTGCGTTACATACATTGCTTTGTAAATGTCTCTAACTCAATCTTGCTGATCGCCATCATCATTAAACATACGCTAATGCTATAGAAAAATAGGCGCGTTTGACAGCAATAGAAAAATAATCGTTCTTGTTTCACACGCCTCCTTAGCTCAGTGGCAGAGCGCTGGTCTTGTAGTGAAAAACAAACATGATAACCAGAGGCCGCTAGTTCGATCCTGGCAGGAGGCAGATTTTTTTTTTTATTCTGTTTCTTTGTGTTGTTTCCACTTATTTAAGTGCCAAATATATCGAAAAAGAGTGTTTTATGAATTTTTATATTAAATTTTCTAAAGATTAACTAATAGATTGACTAATAGTAGAAAAAGAAGACATCGATTTATTGGAAATTTTATTTTGCCCAAAATGTCATTCATGTCTTACTTGTGACATAGATAATAATGCGTAAAATGAGTTACAAATGAAGAGCAGATCTTTTTCCTATTCGATAAAATTTTAAATAAAACTTTCAGTCCCAGAAGAATGAACACATGAAATTTATGTCAAATACGGTAATTACGATTATTATATTTAATAAAAATAAAATGTCTTTCATCCGTAAGATGAACTTTTCCGCACTGTGATCCACAACATGTATTTATTACGTATCTTTTACCGTAAATATGAATTCATGAGAAAACTGAATATGATTTAAATTTTGCGATACAAATAATTTTGATAGACTTTTCAATGCCTGTATGATATCGTAATCATGTGAAAATTTGAAGATGTTATTTTCTTTACAAAAAGCTAAAATTCTGAAAGTTTGAAGAAATTTTAATACAATTGAGTGGTACCTTCCATACAAAGTTTTCGTTTTTGAGCAAAAAATCCTAAATTTTGTTCGGGAGGTACCTCCAAAATGTTATTTTCGTGTGATAAAAATAACCTGTGCAAAGTTTCAGCTCATTACGATATCATACAGGCATGGCTTCCATAAAAAAATTCAATTTTTTTGAAATTTTTGTATGAAAAGTGTGTCGAAAATTATTTGTATTGCAAAACTAACATCATATTCGGTTTTATCGTACCCAAAAACCCCCCAAGTACACAATTCAGAGTGCACAATATGTTCATCTCGTAAGATGCATGAGTGTCATTCAACAGTAAAACGAAGCTCATGAAATCAATACATTTTTATTCTGTAATTCTACCTACGGCATTCATTAATTTTTTACCGACACTTTAAAGTATTATTCGTTTTCTAACGTTTTGGTTTCATTCAAAATATTCCAACCGTTGTATGGAGATATTACGTTTTTATGAAACCAAAGGTCCGATTTTCCTAATAATCCATTCAATTGAAGATACAAAATGTCACTATGAACATTGGACATCACGTAAAAAAAAAAACAATTAAAATATATGTGCAATATCTAATCAAATCAAATTAAATTTCTACATAAAATTAATTTGTAATAATGCTAAGCAATGAATAAGATTGATATAAATACCATTGTGTGTTCTATGAATTCTCAGCAGTCATAAGCTAGCGTTCAAGTTGAAATTGTATTCAGAATATTGAATTTAGAATATAAAATTGTGCTAGAATGAGTTTTGCGAATAAAGTAATTCTAATCACTGGCGCCAGTTCCGGCATTGGAGCCCATGCTGCCTTACATTTGGCGCAAAAAGGTGCCAGTGTTTCATTGGTCGGTAGAAATGAGAAGCGATTAAAAGCAGTTGCTGAGGAAATTATCAAAGCGGGATGTCCAACACCACTTGAAATCGTTGCTGATGTGACTAAAGATGCTGAACGCATTATAAATGAAACAATTAAGCATTTCGGTAAATTGGACGTGTTAGTGAATAATGCCGGAGTTTTGGGTGCCGATTCTGTTGTCAATTTTGATGTCAACGAATTTGATCGTATTATGTCAACCAATTTACGAGGGATAATCGTTCTGAGTAATTTGGCCATTCCGCATCTTGAAAAGACTAGAGGCAATATCGTGAATAACTCTAGTATTAGTGGCATGAGAGCTCTTGACTCTTTCATGTCATACAGTATATCGAAGGCTGCACTCGATCAATTCACCAAATGTGCAGCGTTGACATTGGCGCCGAAAAACATTCGTGTCAATAGGTATTTTAACCATAAAATAATAAAATTGAAAATAATTAAACGGTTTAAACAATCATTTAAATATAAACTTCCAGTCTCAATGCAGGGATTGTTAAAACACCGTTTTTTGAAGCTATCGGAATCAACAAGTCGAACGAAACTCAATTTTATGAAGAAATTAAAAAAGACTATTTGGTCGGCAGAGTTGGCGAACTATCGGATACCTCTTCTGCCATAGCTTACTTGGCTTCAGAGTCGTTCGTAAATGGAACATGTCTTCTTGTGGACGGCGGAAGAATTACAAGTGGACTGGAAAGTATGTATCATCATTTTCAATTCTAAATGTAATTTTTTTTCATAATTTCATTTCAACAGGCAGATCGTCAAACTAAAAATCGATGAAACTGATTTAAAGTCATTCATACTTTCGACTATCGTCAAAACTATTAAAACCACATGAAAAAGTTTTTTTTTTTATTGATGAATTGCACTCGTTTTTATTTTTCATATATTTATTTTTCGTTTTTATTCCTTTTTTACATAAGTATATTTGGATAATGTAACAAAAAAAATTGTCAATTTCTATCAAAAATAAACTATATTATGTTCGTTTTGAAAATATAAAAATTTGAAATATATATACATTTTTGAATAAAGTTTCAACTGAAAATATAGCATTCTATCTCATTCGTTCGATTTTTGTTTAATTTATCCGTTCGCTTATCAATATCATAAAATAATTCGCTTTGTCTTTATCTGACTCTAAAACACTAAATTCGTTTCGATTCGATGAAATGCGTTTAAGTAAATGTTAGACGGATATTGATGAGTGTATGATTCGAGTTATCTGTTTAGCTTATCAACGATTCTAATGCTTAGAATTAAATTTTACATAGCAGTCTCCATTGGTTGGCTGTAGCTTTTATTATCACTTTTCATTTTTTGATCGAGTGTGGCGGCAGTTTCGTCAAAATTCGCTTCGAGCAGTGCCTCTGATTTGGATCTGAGATTGATGATTGGTTTATCATAAACAGATGACGATTGGTATACAGCTTTGGGTCGTCGATTCGATGTCGAAATGTGTGCGACATTTTTGGAATCACGTGCATTTTTCATCGCTGTATAATATGAATTTGGTCGACGGGTGTCATGATCAATCATGCGAATGCTCGGCTGTGCATAATCATTTGGTTTTTTCCCATCTGATTTCGATTGTGTCTCATGTTTCGGTGAATGTGATGCGCTGCTCTTTTTTTCTTGTGAAAATGATTGAAATGAATTTGGTGGTTGATCGTGTGATGCTAAGAAACTGCTATGTCCCGAATTTAAGTGTTCATATTCGGGTAGTTGGTGTTTAAGTTCGCTTAAAAATGATAAATTATCATTGTTTCGTGGTTGCATTGGCAATGTGCTCGATTTTCCGTAGTAATCGGAAACCGAATCATCCATATCGGTGTGGTGTACGATGGGTGTGTCGTCATTTATATTTGTACCGTATGAATTATTGCGCGTGGTAAACGTTGAATTATCACGGAAACCTTCATTTCGGTATGATAATTCGAAATTTTGACCGTATGGATCGTACGACGGTGCATTCGTCAATTTTGGATCATATGTTGAATCCTTCTTTGTTGTTGTACTATCCGAATTGGTGGGACTATATTTGTTCTTTTGTGTAACATATCTTTGTTGCATATTTTGATTATCGTATCCGCCCAAACTTGGATTTGAACTTATGACACTCTTGTCCATTGAATCAATCGATCCCTTTGACATCATCTTCTTCAAATCCGGCGTTGTTATTATTGATTTCGTCAAAGTATCGGTCGATCTTGTCATGCTCTATCAAATCAAACCAATTAAAATGAAAATTAGAAATAATAAAACAACAAAAGCATTAATAAAACCGAAAAATTAAATAACAAAAACAAACTAAATAAATAATTCATAAAAACATAAGCCTACATAGTTTCGACGACGCAATGAACCTTGCGGATCGATTGCATTTAGACTGCGTAAACTTTGGCGAATACTATTACGACGTTCCAAACGCTGCATGTGCCGATGATGTGATTTTGAGCACCAACAAAATAAACACAAAAACAATAAAAGAATGGCCAAAATTAAAGCACTAATCATAACAACGGCAGCGATGTCTGTTTGCCAAGACAATGGCGAGAGCGTAACCTGAAAAAAAAAATGTATGAAAATGTAAAAATCGTCTTTTTGTATCAAAGTAAAGTGACTCTTACCCTCGGATCAATTTCACAAACGAAACCACGCTTATTGTCGCAGTCATCGATTTCAATGCTTCGATAAATAAAACTGGTGCATTGTTCCAAATGATTTAAATCTTGAATCCATATCTTTTCAGGGTATCGCAAGTGCGTCATTTGCCTTTGTAAGTATAACCATAAAATATCGTTTGATCCACGAATGAATGGCATTGTTGCGTTATCCGATCGACAGAATTCACGCGCCTCGAAAAAGGTCATTGGCGCACCAACATAGCTAAAGAGTTGAAAGAGGGCCAAGAGTTTATTATTAATTCCGGCGATAATTGAATCTTTATTAACGGGCAAAATTGTATGCGGGGAGTATGAATTTAACGCTGTGTGTTAAATAAATGGCCATACATACATGTAACATGTGTCCAAAATCAGCGACCATCCCGGCGGACATTTCTCATCCAAAATGGTTTTATTGTTCAATTGATATGGCATATAATTCACCTCGAGCAAAAGAGGATCGTCTGAAGAATGTAAGAATGATTTGTAATCTTTAAGCAAAAGACCTTCGATTTAGAGCATGTTAAATACTATTCTCACCTGATTTATCCCGAATTCGGCCACTTACAGCCAACGTATCATTGTAACTCCAATAATTATGCGCCGCATCAATTCTTGTTTTCCACAAATCCACCGTACTGTAAAATGTTTCAAATACATCAATTTCATTACATTTAATATTAAACGTGATATTAGTGTGTGCCAACTTTAATTTAATTTTGTGGTTAAAATGTTTGGCGAATATTTACCTGTTCCAAAACTGGAATTCAAATCTATAGTTTGATATAGCATTCGATATAACCAGCACCGAACAAAGAAAATAAAATACAAAGAGAAATAGAAGAGGAAAATTACATTTTTTCAAAGCTAATTAAAATCATTTCAAATCTTTCGAGAGAAAATCATTTTATATCTAATTTTGAGATGCGGAATGAAAGATGGGGTTGGGATTTTGTACTTTAAACTGTAGAAAGTAGAATAGTTTTTTTTAATCTAATAACTACATCGAAGTATTATTATTTGAACATGCAATGTTTTCTTTTTTTTTTGTTCAAACCAGAGAATAAGAAATAGTATCTTACATTGATCGATTGACCGTGATCATTTCGTAGTCATTGTCTGGATTGTAAAAGATATTATCCACATATTGTTGACCTGCTGTGCCCGCAACGATTGTGGCTCGACCATGCCAATCGGTTGCAACATTACTGTAAAAACAACGAAATGAATGTAAATCTTTGTATTTTGTGGATGAATTTAATGTATTGTACTTACTCATAGAAACCATTGTGAGTAGTGGTCTGATAAATGGGCAATCGAACTTTGTCAAATCCAGAAATTTCAATGATTCGTCCACCGCGATTACTATGCACATAGTTGTAGCTAAAATTCGACACAACTTGTCACGTAAAAAAAAAAACAATTAAAATATATGTGCAATATCTAATCAAATCAAATTAAATTTCTACATAAAATTAATTTGGAATAAAGCTACGCAATCAATAAGATTGATATAAATACCTTGTCGAAGTGCAATGACATCAGCGTATCCCGCTTTATTTTGTGAGAAATAATTTTTGAATATTGTGACCTCTTGATAGGGCGATGATTGTCTGCCTTCCATTAATAAACTCGGTCGATTATTATTATCAACGAATAAACTGTGATGAATGTAGGCGCGCAATGATGTTGCCGAACCTCGTGAGTCGGCATTTATCATGATTCCACCTTGATTCCCCTTCATCAAATTGTTCTAATGAAAAATCGAAAATTACAACAACAATTATTGCATCATGTACATTCGTACTATTTGTGATATGAATTTCGAAACTAACTTGAAAATGGAATGTTTGCATATTTTGTACGTCTAATTTGATGGCAGCTTCACAAGTCGAAAAATTTCCATATAGTTTTCGACAATTATTGATGAAGCGATTATTTTCAAGTGTTAATAATGGTGATATTTCACCGGCTGTTACATAGGTTAATGCACCTCCAACGGCACCCGATATTTCTGACAGCGATATATTATGTTGCGCATCACGATCTATAAATTAACATATATGTTAGCATTACATTTGGTTTTGGCCCTTAAAAATATATTATTACACAATATATGACTTACTAAAACCAATGGCAGATGCGGGCAGTGTAACAACTTCAGCAAAGAAACCATGTGTAGATGGAGCTCCGCTCGCAACCAATCGAACACTTAAAATTGGCCCATTTGTACGGAACAAACGTTTTTCATTATTGCTATCAGCTTCGATTGTATCAATATGCGTTGCCGTCAGATTGTACAAGTCACCATCGAATAAATGTATTGAATCACGTCTTCCATACAATTTCGAATGATTGAATAGATTCGATTGCAACAAACGGAATCCGATTGGTTTAACGCGATAAGCGCTATTGAATATTTTGACACAATTAACTGGATCGTTGTCGTATTTGTAGTACAAAATAACACGCTCTTCGATGACAATTTCTTTGCTATTGTCACAAATATCGATAAGTGAAAATAGGTGATAGGGTAATTCTAAAGATTTAAGCGGTGCAAAGCTCGATTCATCACTTTCACGACCTTCCCCAGTCAACGAAACGGCATTTATTCCATGACCCAAAACATTGTTTATTTTCAATAATTTCAAGTGCATCGTATCACTGGGCGACACCAAATTCACACCATGATGAGCACCATTCGTTATTGTAATGGAATTTATGATTGGCGCTTTAAAAATCGTTTGAATTGAAGCGGATTTTTCACCATGCAGCATACCAGCCGAATCGATGTCAATGAATTCGAGGAAACTCTCGCCTTTTCGGATTGTGGTGTGCGTATGAATGTCGTGAATACGATGTTCATATGTACTATGCTCGAAATCTGAATGTGCAAAACGAATGCCACCCCAATATTTGCGACCATCTGCATTTCCATTGCAACTGACAAACACAAATTTATCGTGCCATTTACATTCGTGTCGATGACCATACAGTTGTCCATTCAATCGTTCAACGCATCGACTGAACTTTGGTTCGTCACCTTTGCACTCGAGCGGCTGAACCCATGACCAAATTCGTGTTAATGAATTTGTATGATATTCCAAGCGTTGATCATGATTGAAATATACATCCAAATAGTTGAAACCCAACTCACGGCACACAACTTGTGCATTTCGTTCGGTGAAGCGTCGATCACAAATTGGAACCCATTGTAATGTTGTGTGATTGAAATATTCTAAAAAGCCTTCGGTAATTGGCAACACATCGTTGTGCTCATTCGAACAATTTCCGTTTTTACACAACCGAATCGAATCCAAGTCGTTACGATTGTCGTCCATTTGTGGTTCAGCTTTGAATTGATGATCTTGCGATTCAGAGGGCTGTTGACTTCTCATTTTAATTCGACCATCTGGATAACCACGTGCAATTAATGTGCCTGCAGAAAAGAATACAAAGAAAAGTTAAAAACAAATTAACCGGCTTTCTCTTTTGTGTTCACGGTTTTGTTTTCGTTTTGAACCGTGGGCGTGTGTATTGTTTCAAACTTATGCAAAGAATTAAACTCTTTGTTAGTTAAAAGTGCTTTGCATTGAAATAAATCTCATTCACTAAGAATGATTGATCGGCTTAATTGTTAAAACACGAAAGTTCAAAGCGATTTCATTTTTCTATTCAAGTGAATTATGATTTTGACAAGTGAGAGAGCAATCTAAAAAGCATAAAAACTTACCCAAAACCAGGATGCCAACATTTTCGGCAAATTCGAATTCAGCACCGGCATGAATGGTCATCGTAACACCTGGCATCACTGTAATATCCGAATTAACAACATATGGAACACCGCGTCGATACAATGTCAAATCTTTGAATATTCTTCCGCCCAAATGATCAATATCGATTTGTTTTCGTTCGACAATCGACGGCGATAGACTGCCATCAAAATTATTTTCCACCAAATACGGTCGAAACAGTACCTCTGCATGATTATTCCAATCATCAAAATCAAAGATTTTCGATAAAATGTAATTAACATCGGTGGAGCCCCACCAATTTTCGGTCGCATCCAAGAAATTATGTAAACGTGCCGAACGAACGCCTGCCAGCAAATCGTATTGCAATTTATTGTCGGTCAATAAATTTCGATAGATGCGCACTTTTTGAATGCCATTAAAGCAAATCACACACGTTGGATTTCGATCAGCAATCCATCGATTGTATTTAAAACCAGCCACTACCGAAGGTTGAAGATTTCGTTGTCGTGTTTCACCATCAAATCGATTATTTGCAATCTTATTGTATGCAAAAATGGCAAACACTTCACCAAGAATTTCGCTCAACGAATCGGCACGGAATTGAATCACATACCGTGCATTATTGTTGCTAACAATATTACCATCAATGCGTAATTTCTTCTCCATGCCACGAAATCCGATTAGACCACTTAAGCATTCATTTTCACGGAACGTATTTCCCGTTATATTAGCAACGGCAAAATGACCAGCAATTTGAATGCCAAAATTTTTATTTCGTATCCATGTGTCGTTGCCCAAATAAATTGAATGCGTAAAATTTTCATTGTATTGCCAAACATACGGTAAACTAATATCAAATCCACCATTTAAATTATCTTCGAATGTTGTTCCTTGGATCACATAATGGAAGAGATTATTTGATGAACGTAAATCTTTTGAATACTGTCGAATACCGCGTCCATTGCTGATCACCAGCGAATTATTCAAATGAATTGTTATTTCGGAAATGTTACTGACATGAACATCCCAAAATGGTGACAGCACAAAAATTGCCTCTTCTCTATTGTGACTGATTTCACAGTGTGTGAGTTTTATTGATTCGTTTGCTTTGCGCATAAAATGTTCGGCTCGATCACCTAAATACCGATTATAATAGGTGGCCATGATACCTTTTTGATTTCGTTGAATTTTTGTCGATGTAACATACAACGTTGGTACCGGTCCGCATACAATGCGATTGTAAATGTTTTGCACCGGTGCTGTTATACTTGATATAACCAAAACAACACCGCCAAACGCATTCGTTCCACTGCTGTAGCGTAGCATAACACCATAACTGCTGCTTGTCACCGGAAATACGGTTAAATCACGTTTCATTTCATAGACATTTGAATTGTTGCTTGGCGTTTGCGAATCGTATATCCAAATATTTTCGGTTGATCCATTTTGAATGGGATTGAGCAATTGAAAACCAATCACATAGCCCGGCGCACATCGAATATTAATTGTACGTTCAATTGACGGTTGACCGTCATTTACGCGTGCGGTAAGCAGATATTTCTTTGTCCAAATGTCCACATTTATGTCACTCAAATCATCTCGTGGCAACACATACGGATGATAATCCGAATCGTGAATGTTGAAATCGGGTGCCATTTGAAACCAGCCAGCCAATTCACGTTGTTCAATTGCCGAAATAACCGGTGTGTGAATTATTCCCGGACCATAATTATCTTTGATAACGGAACCTTGAACACGCAATCCAAGTTGCTTCAAACTGATGCCACTGCCTCGATTCGTTGAAAATTCAGAGTTTTTCACATTATTTATTGATGCACCGTAAATGTCCGAATACACAACACCAAGACCATCTTGTAAATTATTGACGATGCGAACATTTTCCAAATTATGTCTAGCAAAATCCATTTGTAGTGCTGGCTTGAATGTATTCGATGCATAATCAAAGAGGCCGGCTTTTTCAATGGTAACATATTGTAAATCGGTTGATTCAGCCAATACACCAAAACGAACACCAGCCCATGCGCCTTCATAACAACGAATGCCAACATCTTGTGCATGCGAACACGAATTCACGAACTCTTTGTTTGCCGCACGCTCTGCTCGACATTTTGTAATATCAATGTCATGTTCAGTGCAACGAACATGCGATAAAATTACATCTTCTGATATGCCAGCATTTGGTAATTCAGAACGCTCCAATTGCCAATCGTCTGGATTCAAAGCGTAGCCCAATTGATGACACACCAATGCAGCATTTATTATATTCCATCCATAGTCACAAACAGTACCCCATTTTCCATTCAAATACACTTGTAATCGTCCTTCCATTTCAGATGTTCCGCCCAACAAACGAATCGGAACATTTGGCTTTTGTTCAACAATAACAACTGCTTCTGTATCCATATCGGTGATATTTGCGTCGGTCGTTTCATTTTCGAATGTAACAACCGGTGTTCGTTTCAATGTAAACATAATGTCATCTGGATTTCGGCCTCTCGCTTCTAATTTGCCTGAAACCATCATACCAACACCGGGTGCAAAATTAAGCGTTACACCTGGACTTAAAGTTAATTTGCCACCCGGTCGAATATTTATATCGCGATCAACTGTATAGGTGCCGGGTTGTAAAATCTCTTGTCCATCGACTTCACCGCCCACCACATCTGAGCCTTCGGTGAAAAATCGCGGCACAAATGTCTGAATTGCCATTATCGTATTCGCACCCGGATTTGAATTGTGCAAAAGATATGGTGAATATTCAATTTTCGCCAAATCGTATCGATCTTTTCGATGGAATAGCCGATGGAAAATTTGCTCTTCGTCTTTGTGACCCAGCCAATTGTATGTTACATTTAGAATTTTACTTTGATCGGACACTTGTGAACCCACTTCGTATCGTGATTCTCTGTTGTTTAGAATATTTCGGAATATTTCAACATTGCTTGACGAAATGACAACCGGTGCAGCGACACGAGATCGTGGCGACAAACGATTCTCACCGAATAAACTATCATCGTCGTCTGAACTCATGAATGGCTCGCTAATTTTATTCATTCGCACAAAGTTCCGTGTAAACAATAAATATTGGATGTCTCTGTCACTGTACGGTGTCAAACCCAATGATGCCACGTAAATTCCTTGATTTTTAAAAAATTGATTATGATGAATTGTCAATCGGACGGGTAATAGTCGAAATTCGTCAAGCTGTTTATTTCTTATGAGTAACGATCCATATTTTCCATATTGAAAATGATTGTATTCAATATTTCCGTCTAAATTTAACGCTGGATTAATGACAATACCGATTTTATTGTCGTTTTCAAATACATTGTGTCCGATTTGTAATTTCAATTTTTCATTGTTATCCGTTGCAAACCAACACGATTGAATATCAATGGAATTCGATGTGCTATCGTTAAATTTATTACCAGTTATGTTGACCCAATGATTGCTGCAATAATTTCCATGCAAAATTCCCGTTTCAAGATTCCGATAGAACGTTGAGTACTCAACAACGGATGTTTGATTGAATTGAATAAACTCTTGACGATCTGTTTCCGATGTATGATTCAACCAAACGGCAATTCCATAGCCGGTATTTGATGTGATTGTACTTTTCGAAATGTTTCGATTGCCACCGTAATAGGTGATGTTGATTCCATCCCCATGATTCATGCTAATTCGGCTTTGTGTTACATTCACATCACCCACACCACTTGTAATATGCACACCGGCAATATGTCCATTATTCATGACAGCACTTTCATGTATGTGCACTTGTGATCTCATATAATCAACAGCAATACCACGACCGCCATTATTCGAAATCACCGATTTCGTAACATTCAAATCGTACGATTTAAATGGTCCGGTTGTTAATTTCAAATAGCCCAATATCTTTGAACGTGCATCAGCGCGAAATCGAATAAATACCTTTTCACGTGTACTTGTTAAACTTTGTGGTCTTGTGAAATTTCGTATGGCCCATGTGGCAAGCAAACGATCGCTAGCCGAAGACCCATCAAAAATGTCAATGTATCCAGTTTCATTGCGTTCAACAACAAAATGTACGAAATTCACCGTTAATAAATACCCGTGCCGTGTGAAAAAGTATTTAAAACATTCTTTCGAAACCGTTGCATATTGTGATTGTTGAATGGACAATGAAATCGGATAGGTTTGACTGGCTGTCGTTGGCAATGTACAAAAATCAAAAATACTATTTCGATCGGTTCGTTCGTCTGAACGTAAATCGTGTCCGGTATATCGAATACCATCATCACCATTGTCCGTAACTTTAACACGATTGAATAGTGCCAATCCATTGCTTGAATTCACAAAAATGCCAATGCCTCGACTCTTTTGTACGGTTACTTCGTTGAAGGTGAACGCAGCATCTGGTCGTGTTATATTAATGCCAGTGTATGCACTGCGATCGACTGTAACGAAATTCATAGATGGCGGCACACCCAATACTTCAATAGCCGCATTTGTCGCGCGACCCATACCCGAGCCAGCTTTTATGATATCCACATATCGCAGTTCAGACATCGACGCTTGTTCGTAATTGGTATTGTCAAGTGCTAAACGTTGTTCGGACGGTGCATTTTCAAAGCGTAAACCACGCCAATGCGATGTTGATGTCTCATGCAATGGCAAACATTGAACACCGATATCATTGTGATAGTCACACACACCCGAACCAATTTGAATTGTATTCCATGCACATTCGGCTAATGCAGTTTCGGTACCCTGACAACTGGGCTCTTCGTACAGCAAACGTGATTCATAGTTCGATAAACGTTCGATCCAATTCCAAAATCGGCCACCTTTGAAACCCATTTGACGACACACCGCCTCGTAATCAGGTATTGTCCAACTGATAAACAGAAAAAAAAACACGATAAAATCATTAATATATTTGTATTGTTCGCACTGATAAATTTCTATTAATACTCACTTTCTGGAGTTTGTGCACACCGAACGCCATTTATTTTCGTAGAAAATTTGAAGTCGCCCAGCCAACGGTGATGGACCATCTACCAAACGAGCACCCAATCTTTTCGGTTCATTTGTTATTGTTTCACTATATCCCGAATCGCTTTGGGTTGTGAATACGACTTTTTCATTGATGTTTCCCTGATTTTTTTTTTCATTTGCAAAAAAACAATAATAAAAATAAGATGATGAATTAATTAAACTAATTTAATTGAATTGAGTGTAATTTTGCGTGAAACATAATTAAAAAACATGATTTATTTCTATCAAATTGTAGTAAAAAGTGCGACTTTTTCGTGCATAAACTACAATTAAAACTGATTGAACTGTTCATTAAATATTTTGCGAGTGTGTTTTGAAGAAGGCAAAAAAAGAGATGTAATTTGTACAAGCACGAAACATCCGAACCACCGAACAATGTTCGTGTGAATGAAGATGCCTAATTTAAGTCAAATCGATTAGCCTTTGTCTTGATTCAATTTAAAAACAACAACAAAAAATACGACCGAAGAAATGTGACCTTTTAACCACGATTTTTTATTATTCACGTATGTATTTCACAAACAATGAAATGATGAAAGAAACTGAACAGAAGAAAAAAACGGCGACTATTTGTTTGTAGCGACCGCAAAGCGCAACAACAGCACATTACTCATCGTCATCATAATTATTACTATTATTATCATATGAATAGACCTTGTCATATACTAAAGTAGTAATGAAAGAAACGAAAGTCAATTATTATTTGCGATTATTCATCTTAATTATGTTAAATAAACGAACGCAATGCTCGCGGCTGCTGTTGTACATTACTTCCTATTGTCGTGCGAAATCAAAAGAGACATCAGATGTGTCTATAGATGGAAGTGGCGCAATGTGAGAAAATCAGATAGAAATAATGTGTAATTTCGAAAGGAATGCGCGAGACAAACGGGAACGAATAATTATTGGCATTTCCTTGATACCAGTGATATCATACCAGGTACACAATAAAGGCGAAAAAAAAAAATGGAGATCGTTGAACTTACCAGTGCAGTTAGAACACCTCGTACATTAATCCCGACCATTGGAGCAACCCGAACCGTAACACCTGGTTCGATGAACAGTTTACCGCTGCGTTCGATTGTCAAATCGGTTTCAAGCGAATATGGGCTTTCCATTTGTCGCAACCATTTTTCGCCGATAATACGGCCGCCCGTTAATTCTGTAAGCGTATTTTTGGCATGCACCTCACTACCATCGTCAATTTCATTCAATACGTTATTATCACAATTCACTATCGCTGGCAGTAGTAATAACAACACTGTCGCTATCACGAACACACTTCGACCTAAATATAAGTGATTCATTGATTTTAGATTAATTGTTTGTCTTTCACACTGTCCATGTTCTTTGAACTGTTTGGTCATCCGTAGACGAAAATTTGGTTTATATTTCATTTTTATTTATATAAATATTTTCACTAAAAATACGCCAAACTTTGTTAATTATTCTTTTGTTTTGTGAGATCACATTATTGCTTCTGTAACACTTCATTTATTTTTTTGGTCATTCGGATGTCAGCAAATTTTTGTGCATATGGTACGTTTGTTTTTCTTTCTTTCGTCTCAATATTATGGTTATCGATGTGATTTTCTCCGTCAACACAAACAACTAAAATTTCAAAAAAAAAAAACACAAAGCAATTTATTGTTAATGCTGAATAAAACGCGTTAAATCAAGATGATGTTTGTATATGACTTTGTAAACACTAAATACTGTAATTTTTTCTCTATACAATGCATTCATAAGCATTTTTCATTTGACTCATAAATATTTTTTTTCTTAACGCCGTGCGCTGTTTTTTCTCGTTTTCTTATGTTTTTCTAATGTGGAATTTCAAGTTAAAATTCTTGTCCACGCTAATTTGTCATCGACCTAATGGATTTTAAGCTTGAATACATAAAAACTTGCTCCAAATGTTGCTTTGAACACAAAATGCTTGCACAAAACTCTGCAGCACCTATTCGAAGAATGAGCAACGAATTGATTTTAATTGATAGAGTCAGAGCACTTGTATTGCACGCACATTCAACCAATTTCAACACAATTATCGCGTCTTTTTCTCCATTCTCTCACTAATGTGCGAACGCAAATAGCACACACAGTAAAGACTAAATATGGGAGCGATACCGATGTATTTGTTATCCAAAATATCAAGTGGAACGATGACGAAAGATAAGACCGAAAAAAAAACAACAAATCAGTGAAACGTTGTACTGTACTATGAAATATATGAATTCCACTTGTTTCTTGTAATTTGTGCTAGGTTTATTTGCTCTTGATCTTCGCAATCATAGCACATTAACTCTTCTATTCTACACGCTAGTCGAACACATAAAAAACAAGTACAACAAAAAAAATATATTGTCATAAATTTGTGTGTATGTCGTTCTCTCTTTATCTTATTGAAACCCATTTCTATGTTCGTTTTTCACGGATTTGCACACATTTCGAAATAAACGCTTGAGATAGTTTCACGTTGACTGATAGGATTCGGTCGGTTTTGTATTCCGTTCTTGTTCATCCGCAACGACGAACAATCACAGCAACAACGACAACGGAATCGTAAATTAATTGAGTCAGTTCAAAATGAGTGAGTCATTCGTTCCACCGATTCAATTACAATTGCATTAAATTAATGTTGTTAATGCACCGGCTGCTTTCATCGATCGGGTGTTCATTATTTTTTTACGCTTTCGCTCGATCTGCAGTTGTAAGTGTTCGCTGTATGCGTCGTTGTCGTTTGATCGGAGCAACAAACGGATGATACGAGACAAAAAAAAGCAATGCCATGAAATACAACTCAAAGAGAAAGAAGGCGAATAATTTGATTTAAATTGACTATTCTCTCTCGGTGTTTTTTTCACCTCTTTCACTATGCACAAATCGGAATAGCGGCGAATAGTCCGTGCTAAAATGCACGATTGTTGCAAATAGAATGAAAATGCCAACCGTGAAAAAATGTTAAATTGTGCGACAGACCGCAACAGCATCAGATGCATTGAATAGGAAGATATACATAATGATGGAGCCGATCTAATCGATTGTGGCTTGAAAATGGTGCAACAGTGCTATTCGAATACATAGATCTATATAGGCACTAGCGACACACAAAAGACAGACCATTAATGTTGTTTTTTTTTCTCTTCTCATAATTGGCTAATATCCGGAATAGAGATATTAGTTTGCCATACACGTAAATGAGACACGCTGTGAGAAACAATCTGTTTGATGAGCTACCAAAAACAATAATCTGCATGAAAATAGCACAGCGCAAAAAAAAAAATGACAAACCGGAGTCTGTCGATTGTTTGCGCATCGCCGCAAACTGTTATGTGTGGTAAACAAAGAACGGGCAAAAAGAACACCAGATAAATGTATATAATCGCTTCACATGCGGAATATATTCAACACATTCGCATTCTCATAAATTGTACATTGTTTAGTGGTTTGACCAGTTGTTGTTTTTGTAACCGTTTTTTTTTCTTCTTCTTCTTCCTATTTTGGTCTTTTATGATATAAAGCGCTAGCTGTGTGCAAAGGTATGCAAGAGCATGGGCGCGCGTGAGCGCGATATGAAACAATATCACAAGAGACAGTGAAAGAGAGTAAAACGTCGATCTTGATGACGGCTTTGGTCATGTTGAATAATAATTTTTACTTCTTCTTTTTCTTTTCTTCCGTTCGAGAGAGCTCACTCTCTGCTGTGCTTCGTTTTGGTTTTTTTTTTCGTTAATTTCTTTTCGGAATTGGCTTTTGGTCTTGGATTTTTAAACTTTCGACAAATAAGAGAAAGAGGAGATAGAGAGAGAGAGAAAGAGAGAGAGAAGCCAAAAGCGAAAAATATGAAAAAGAAGCAACAAACAATCGCACTGCTATTCAAAGAGAGATGATGATGATCAAAGAAAGCAAAAAAATAAATCGTTACTAAATCACAAATTCGATACGTTACAATAATACAGCTTTCCATGGCCGCATGATTTTTCATCATAACCTTCTTTTCTCTCTTTCTATTTTTCATTTTCCATTTAGTCTTTTTTTACATTAGTTTTTAATCGAGTATTGAGAAAAATCGGCATTATGATCGCAGCCTGTTGTACATATGATTGGCTTGTGTTTCATTGAATATGAAAGAAATAAGTCTGTTCCGATTTGCAATTGAATAAGAAACACAATATGAAAACAGAACGGAATGGAAATTTCAACACATCTTCTGTGTGCTTGTGCCGTGTGTATCGAATTCGATGGAAATTAGAGACAGATGAAAGAAGAAAAATTAAAGCTTTCTTCATGGTTTTTCTTGAAAGTCAAAATCACATTAGCTGAGAAAATAGAAGAGTCAGTGTGCGATGAGGCAATTTTCTACTTAAAATTAAACAAATGCATAACGAATTTAGCACAAATAAAATTCACGACAAAACATATGCATATCTTAATCTAAAACAAAATCGAGCGCGCTCGCGCACACACAGTGCAAAACCACTATACAGCAAAAAGTGAAAAAGGTAAAACACGCGAAAAAAATTGGAACATTCACTACATATTGTTTTGTATATCTCGTTGTGCATGTTTTTGTTTGAACACAATGGAAAACCAAAAAAAAAAAAAAAAAAAAATGGGCGAACGATATATGTTCGTTAATCACTTTCTTTATTTATTTTTGTTAATTCGTCGTACGTACTGTGTACATGTACATTCCCATATTTGTCAAATACATTTGACCAATTGTCGTCGGTGTTATTTCATTTGTTTACCAAACTCTTTTGCAACACACAGAACCTAACGTTTTCCCTCTCGCATAATTTTCATTTAAATTCACTTCATTTCATGAGTATATGTAACAATTGGTTTGCACAGCAATAATAAAAACTATTCTTGACACATTTCTCATATAGAAATCACTGAATTAAGAATTGTTCCAATTTTCACTTGTAAAAATCAAGGTGGAAAACTGCATTAAAAAAATCAATACCATTTATTCGCTGGACACAGAACATGCAACATGATTGAAAACGATAAACAATGCAACCAGGGAAACGATTTTCCCTCACCGACTGGAACGCGAGAACGGGAGACGCAACAACAACAACAACGCGTTAAAAATGTATAAATTTATTATTTTCTTAATACAAAAAACACAAGTTTCGTTACAAAAGACGTTTTGTTGACTAAAAGGCGCGGTCGCAGATTTCAAACTGAAACGTTATTTCATCGCTCTGTAAGTCTCTCGCACAGCAGCAGCAGCAACAGCCGTACGTGTGCAGTGCAAGGTAACATACAGAAAATATTCTCGAGACTGTGAACACATATACCAAAGCATTTTCAATAAAAAAAAATACATTTTAACCACACGAAAAACACATTCTCTTCGGTGTATCAACACACACGTTTCTTACGGTTAGCTTTTTTTCGCTTTACACACAAACATAGCGACAACTGTGAGAAGAAAAAAAAAGAAATAGGCAAGAGAATAACAACGAAGAGAAACAAAACCATACATCAACACACGATCATCGTAACCGACACAAATACATCGATGCCGCACAATAACAGTACAACGATTAAGCTACACACCAATACTCATTGTTGTGGTCGCCGTAACTACCTAGCTTTATGCCATAAATGACGAAAATATTCTCGGCTCTCGGTGTGAGTGAACAAAACTGTGAAGCGTTCGATGCGCGAATGAAGTTTTGCCCGTTGCATGCAATAAATGTGGCAGCGCGAATGGAATACCGATTTTTATGCGACGCATCGGCTTAAAATTTACATTACAGCCAAACCGAACCGTTTCGGCAATTCGAAAATTTAAAATTCAACCGATTCCAATTGTGTGCCAAAGCATTATGTTTTTTTTTTATTTCTCTTGCTATTCTCTTCGTGTATACATCACGTGACTGTACACTTGCAACGTCATTCAAATATACATGCACATTCATTACGGATGGCCTAACACTACACACAAATTATGCATGAGAGAATAAAAAAAAATTCAACGAATCGAAACAAAGGGCAATAAAGAAATGAAGTGCATTCTATTAACGATTAAACGTACAAAGAACTTTAAGTTTTCATAACAAATGACCCCTTGATACAAGCTTGATGCGTGCAGGTAGAAGACGCACTTCTGCAGTGTGATTTAGTGGCATTATGCACACCTGTGTTTGAATTGAAATTCCCGCACATTTTTGGGCAAATTCGAAATGTGCGTAGCTCGAATGACATTTACATATTTTGAATCGAGAAAAAAAGTACGCTAAAATCGTGACGAACTTTGACTTCATTCTTTATACGGCTCCAGGCGACGTGGTAGAATAAATGATCTTAAATGCGCATTGAGCATATAAAACCGCCAAGAAGTTTACTAGATGTTGACGACGGCAGCAACGACGACGATTAAACAGCTTTGTAAAATCCAGTTTTTTTTTTGCAGTGATGAAGTCATTTCACACATACACACGTATGTAAAACAGACAAATGCAACGAGCACAATGTATGCAAAACATGCATACAGACATCTAAACCTATAAAAAATGGGATCAAGAAAATAAAGAAGAGAGGAGAAGTGAATGAAACACTGGCCAACTGGTATATTTGAGATTGTGTGAGATTGTGAGTGTATCATTAAAAACAGCATGGAATAAATGCTAAACAGTTGTTTTGGACTCCAATGCCTTGGATAATTGGCTGCATTCTGGAGTCGATTACATATATTCTTCCACACAGTTTGGCCATCAAATCGTGTCGTTGTCCACACACGTTATTTCCTTTCACTGTATTTGTTGCTTTATTACTCTTCAGTTTCACAGATCGTTTCTTATGTTTGCCGCTTCAATCGTTCGTTCATTCGTTCATGTTATGAAAAAAAAAAACAATATTGAAAACAAAAACTGGAAATACACGACAATTATTACGAGATACGTTTTCAATACATACACGGCATAATTTCATTTTCTTATTTATCGTGTATGCGCGCAGTAAACAAAATTGATGTTGACTGCCGTGAGTGTGCAACGCGCGCGCATATCGGTTTCGTAATACAATTTCGATTTTAATTGTCGATATATGTTGAATGGATACATGTTCGTCGCTTGTTCAACCATAATAATAAAACATACCGAGAATAAGTAAGCGAGTAGCAGAGAGAGAGAGAGAGATAAAGAGGGAGATTGGAATTTAAATATATTGTGGCATGAATCATATGATGAATGAAGCGAAAGCGAATTTGTAGTTTCTAAAGTAAATAATGCCATGCTCGCGCCGCATTCCATTTGCAAAGGTTTTTTTTCTTTGATTAACATTTCAAATGTAATTAGCACATCATATCCTACGCTTTTATAGGCGAACAATATTGTGATATATATATATATTTTTCTTTCGTTGACCATGTGATCAGGAATCACGTCGAATGACTCAGTTCAAAAATGTGGTTGCATCAAGGTGATTTTTTTGTTTCCCTGTAAAAAATGAGTAAAAAAAAAACTGTGAGATGAAGTTCATGACTGTGAGTCATTGTTTTCTATTTCCGATGTGATAGACACATACACAATACGATGGTGACAAATCAACATCACATTGACTTGTTTCGACGTGTTCACTATTTAACATGAATCATTCCGCTGTTATCTAAAAATTCCATTTAAAGTGATACAATGTTTTTATCTTTCGGTTCTATTGCGAGAGAAACGAGATCATTTCTTTTCGGAAAGAAAATTCATAAGAAAAAAGTACTCCATTTCTCTTCTTCTTTCAAATGACTAAGCTACTTACCTATAAAATGATTCTTTCAGTATTCATATTTTAACACTTTTTTTATTCTCATTTCATTGTGATTCTTATTCCTAAATCTTCACTCACGGTAAAATAAATAAACGAGATGTATTCATTTCATGTACACAGCTGAAAAGCATAAAAAGTCAAAAGAAAAATAGAAGATTTCCAAAAGAGAGCCAAACGATAAAAAAACGTTCTTTGATGAATAAAAAAACCATACGAAAAACGCGCATTGAAATATTTAGGTCATTGCCCTGGTTCATCGACCCTTTTTTTCACTCTGTTCTCTTCATAAAAACCATTACGCTGTACTGTGTGCTGTGGCAAACGTTTGTGCTACAAAATTCTATTTCTTCTTCTTCTTGTACTACTGCTGATGTGTATGGTACTGTTACCGCTGCCATTGTGTCGTTCGGTGTTTACTTTTAAGGCTATTATTTCGTGCATTTGACTCCGTATACGACTCGTCAACTGAACAAGAATTTAAATGGGATGATGTTGAAGCTTACATAAAAGCGAGTGAAAACCTGCATACACACTCACATACACACACTTACACGCATAAAAAAAAGAACTTTTGTTTTAATTTTTTTTCCACAAATCGAGATATCTCTTTTAATGAATAAAAAATTATATTTACATCCATCTACCATATATGTATCAAAGTATATTAGAAATTTCAATCATTGTGAACTATTTACATCGTTTTAAATCAAGATTATATGATACTTATTTAAAAAAAGTCACATAAATTCTGAGGTAATAATTTTTTTTCTTTTGTTCCATTGAGCCTCTAATAAAAAACAACTTTTGGCCATATTTCTTTAGCATTAATATCGAATGAATCGTACTTATTATTTACATGTTTGTTCGTTGCCTGAAAAATGGATCAATAAAAAATAATTCGTATTTAAATAATAAAATTAAAATATTGATTAGTTAAAAAAGTGGCTTTTTTAGCTTAATTTTTTTAAAGTTTTGTTTAATAAGCTGTGTCAAACTGCTTGAAAACGTAAAACTCCTACAAGTTAATCGTTCTTCACTGTGGTAAATCGACAGACCGCTGTCTGATATCTTTATCTAAAAACTAATTTACATATATAGTATTATATACATCAACTGTTAAAATTTCATTGAAATTAGTTATGCTGCATGAAAAAAACAAATAAATCCAATATCCTTACATGTTTATATTTTGTTTTGATACTTTCGCCATATCACTATTATTAAAAGCAAAAGTCTATGTAATAACTAAAAATTTCCTTGGAGTATCTATATCATTCATAAAATTAATTCAAACCCTAATTTTCTACAGTGGACAATTGTTGTTCGAATTTCTTTTCAAACACCGCACATACAATGAAACGCTTTTTATCTTCGATTTACGTTTACCATGAACATACCTTTTTTCAGCATTTCCATCACTAAAATCATCAACATTCAAATCCGACGAAGTTGAAGATGCTGAAGATGTACATCTCTCGTCTGAATCAGGTGGTAAATTTAACGTTGGTCGGATGAGTTCCTTGACCACACGATCCCAAAACATATAAATGCGTGGGATGATGGCTTTCAAATCCCCCTCAATTGTTGCAACAATATCGGTGTTGACTTTTATAGTATGCCCGTGCTTAGTTGACATTTCCTGCAAATAAATAGTAGTGCAAAAATATAGTTGAAGTAATGAAAATAGTGGATTTATAGTAAATCGCAACTGTCTTATAATTTTACTATACCATTAGAGTGATTGTTGTCTCCGCATTCTCGGTAGATATAGTCAAATTATAAATTAATTCCTTTCTCATATAGCGCATTCCGTATTTTCCGTTAGGTTGGTTCCAGTTATCAGGCAGGTCATTGACACGCATGTATTCCTGAAAAATAAAAGGAGAAAAAAGTGGAGTGTTTTTATTATGATAAAACTTCCAAAAATTATTATCTATGGAATCAAAAATGAAAACTTACTCGTGCTGTACCCACGAACGAAAATTCCTTCGATAACAAACACACATGTGTTACCAACATAAATACGTCTGTGTGGTTATGTAAACTGTTTCTATGTTTATTAATCGCCATTTCGAGGTAATTTTCACTAAATTTTGATAGCGGCATTTTTCTTTTTTCTTTTTGACATAAAGTGATAAAGGGAAAAATGTTGTACACTTCTGATTTCTGAAAACTAAAAAAAAAACAAAACTTAAAAAAATTTAAGCTAAAAAAGCCACTCTTTTAACTAATCAATATTTTAATTTTTTTATTTAAATACGATGAAACCCGCTTTTATATACTACTCACATACACTGGAGGCGCGACTGCCTTGTATAATAGAACGTGAATGCATTTAAGAGAAAGAGTGTGTGTATAATGTTTACATTTCGACGATGCAGATAAAAAAAACCAAATGAATGAAACAATAGTAAATACATTCCATAGGAACTAAGAAGCTTCTGTTATGTTGAAGTCATTCAATGTTGCTTCATTTTCCGTCCAAATTTCAGTTCGATTTATGTCATATTTTTGTTTTGTTTTATGTTATTATGCTCCAATTGTTGTTTGTTTAGTAAATAGGAGCGCATTTGTTTTGTCTGAGTTCGTCTCACAAACAGAATTTATTGCATCGAATATAATAATAGAACTCTCATCACATACTCCATTCGATTGATTCGATTGGGATTTCCTCTATGTGTTTTTTTTTATCCATGAATGCCCATTTTGGACATCTTTATGTTGAGGTCAAAATCGAACTTGAAAACAATAGTAATACATACGTGGTGTATCCAAAGCGGTATTGTCTCTGGCGAGCGAGCGAGCATGTCGTTGCTTATCACTGTTTGAGTGGTGTCGGATTGGTGAATCGACGAGAAGTAATTTAAACGAAAAATGAAAAGTATAGACGAAAGACGAGTCGTAGTTTTTTATTTTATTTTTTTTTCTGTGTACTCTTTAATATAGTTTTAAATGTTTCTTTTATTTGTTTTTGTTTTCCAGAATGAATGCTGTTGAGTCTTATATTAAATGAGAGATGATGCTTATGTGAATTGTTTCTTTATCTGTTGTTTTGCTGATGTTCTTTTGCTGAATAATAATTTCTTGTGGTGGATGGCGGTTGCATTATGATATCCGATGGTATTGGTTTCTTTTATATAGTTTAGAGAATCTACGTACATTTAAATTTTTGATTGGTACATTCATAATTATATCGATAGCATTAAACGATGACATAATTTTTTGCGGTATGCGCGTACTGGTTGTTGTTGTTATTAATTATTTGTCTTTATTTTGCGTTCATATGTGAATTCTTAAAAACGTGTTCATTCTGTAACTTGTCAATCATTGCTAATACATCTTTGTTAATTTTTTTATCTGTGTATGTGTGTTGTGGTGTTCAAGTGCGACATAGAGTTTTGGTTATCTTCTCTATATGTTTTTTTTTTCATTTGTTATATCATATTCCACATAATAATAATGGCATTTTATTGTATATATATGTATATCAATTTGCACGTATTTCATATAATTTGATTTGTTTTTTTTTTGTGTGTGTTTTACTTTCAACGCTCTGGAGGTTTAAAATACTTCATTTGCTTTTTTTTTTTAACAAAAAGATGTGTTTTTTTCTTTGATTTTCCTTAGCATTTAATTTCTATTACGGTCATATTAAACGAATTTATATCTCAGGTGAAATGCTTGTAAATGTGCGTGTAGCACTATCGTTCCAAAAAAAAAAATCGATTTTAAAATGGACAAGATCAGTATTATGCTTGGTCTTAAATGCTAGAAACTTATTGAAATCTCGAATGTATGTAAATCGAATGAAAAAAAAAAGATTGTTATGAAGAGAACATAAAATATTTTTTTTTGTTGTTGTTTGCAATTAGAAATTATATATAAATGTGTGTGTGGCAACGGGCGATGAAGCTCGTTCTGGCTTTAAATTAATTTAAGAGCGAGATCTCTTGCTTTAAATAAATTTAAGGTCGTTCTTGCTTTAAATCAATTTAAAATCTTGATCTTGGGCTTCTACTTCTGAAGCGACCACCTCCGGGTCCCCCCGACTGACGACCGCCCCCGAAGCTACCACCTCCGTTACCACCGAAGCTACGACTTCCTCCCCCTTCGCGAGAATTGAACCGACCCCCTGGAGCTCCGTAGCCTCCTCCTCCAGAACTAAAATTATCCCGGCGTGAGGATCTAAAGCCACCTCCATCTTGCCGACCATATCCTCCACCTGAATTTCCACGAAAGCCACTATTATCATTACGACGGAAACCACCTCCGCCTCCTGGTCCGCCACTACGGAAACGGCCACCACTGCCTCCGTTTCCGAAACGGCCACCGCCGCTTGGACCTCTACCATCATTGCGACGACCTTTGTTTGGTCGACCTTTGCTAATTTCAACACGAAGTTTGCCCGAGCCCAATGCCTCGACGCCGTTCAAAATTTCACATGCTTTTTCGGCCTCATTACGGCTTTCGAATTCAACGAAAGCAAAACCTGGTGGATTGAATGCAACCCTGTATGAAATATATGAGAAAAAAGAAAACACAAAACAAAAAGATAAAAATCATTTAATTAAATTGTTCATTCAGATTAATATTCGAGTCATTAGATCATTCACACTTACCAAACTGAATTTAATTTTCCATATTTGGTGAATTCAGATTCCAGGTCTTCTTTCTTAACTTTTTCGCCGAGATTGCCGACGTAAACACGTGTTCCGCGATCTTCAACCATTTTATCTTTCAATTTCTTTTATTCTTTTCTTTCGTTGAACGTCGATTCAGTTATTCGATGCGAAGATACGTCGTAGCGATGCGATGTGACGAGAGAGAGTTCGGGTGTGATTCTGTGCAAATTGAACTTCGAAGCGATGATATGACACTGACCAAGAGACACGCTGAGATGCGACGACTGCGATGCAAACGAATTCTTTACGAGGAACCGACGAGAAACGAAGCAATGAAAAATTCAGGAGGGTTTTTTTTGTGATTTGTTCATACTTTTCTATTTTGTTTTATAGGTATATATATTTTTTTTTGGTTTTGATTTTATATTTTGATAGTGAAATTGATAGAAACTTATTTACTTAAATATTCGAAAAAGTTAAGAAATGATGTGTAAAATCATAAAAATGTCGAAATCGGAAAATATCGAATAAATAATATTTGCATGAAAATCGTTTTTTCCGACGTCGCAGTTTTTTTGGTTTTGTTTTTTTTTTCATTTCGTATAAAAATATTTATTTAGATTATGTGGTTTATAAGTTTTCGAATGCATTCAGATGTTCTCAAAAATTCAGAAAGAAATTCATTGCATTGGTACTTTACGATGAAGTGTTACACAACAGAAGTAATAGGCGAGTTTTATGAATGGTAGATAGAAAACAAAATGCATGGCGCAGAAATATAAATTTAAAAAAAAAAAAGAATTGTTCTCAAACTCGGAAGGCACAAATTGTGACACAATTTTTTTTTTGCTACAAAACATTCTCAAACGAAAACGAGAAAAACAAATTATAAAAAAAGAGAACGACAAAAACCGAATTACAATACGTGTTTTGTAATGAAAACAACCAAAGGGATGTGTAAATGAGTAGAGACGAAAATAGAATGGAGAAAATCAATCAAAATGAACGTTTTCGTCTCGAAAAGCAATTAAAATTAAAACAAAAATAATAAAAACTAATATAAATATATGAAAATTGTTGTGTGCGGCAGAAGAAAATTTGAATGGAAAAAAACCAACAAAATGCATTGCAAGTTATCTACATACTACCACATATGCAATAATTATGGGTCGATGTGTAAATATGAGCTTCATCTGTTCATTGTATTATGTGTATATGAAACATAGAAGAGAGAAGAACGAAAAAACGAAAACCCAACAAACTAAATATGGACGCCGTGTATTTGTTGCAGTTGTAGAACAAAAATAAAGTTTGCTTGTTTAGTGGCACTTGCGTGTATATACTATGTGTGTGTGTGTGTGGTTCGGCTTTTTTCTTGTTGTATTGTATTATTTTATGTGCGCATATGTCGATTTCGTCGAGCTGCGATTACATGCACAAAGCGAAGAGACGCAAATAAAATTTAATGCGCGTTCGATGTGAACGAAGGGAAAAAAATCGATATTTTGATTATATCATCTTCACTGTGTCTGATGCACACAATGAGCGTATATTTCTTGAAAAGCGAATTTCGTATGTAGCTTACAAGCGATGTTGAAGAATAGAAAATTAAATGCAAAATTTTCATGTCGTGTAAAATGAAAAACGCGAAACAAAAAAAAATCTCTTTATTTTTAGACTATATTTATGGTCAATTCAATCTGGTTTTGTCTTAAACGAACGGAATTTGCTTTGAAGTTGAGAAAATGTACTAATGGCTATGACGCTAACACTTTCATATTTGGTATACTCGACACACCCGTATAGCTTCATCGCACTACTCTCATCGGTGTTTTTTTTTCTACTTTTTTTCTCAAAAAAAAAAAAAATTTCACGATGTTTGAACGTGGGCAATGGGGGGAAAAAAATTGCGAAGCAAATAAATTCGGTGGGCGACTCGATATAATTCTCTTGGAATAAAAATGAAAATTGCGATTTGTCTACGATTTAAATCGAATGGTCAAATTTACTATTTAAAGCGTATTAATGAATGACGAATATGATGAGGATTCAAATAAACGAAGGTACGCGTATTTTAAATTCAAAATGGCGAACTCTATTTAAACAAAGCACAGGCACTCTCGGTATATATGGAACAAATGCAAACCAGGTTTTTTTTGAACACAACAAACAAAATTAAAAATTAGGTAAAGGATGCTTTTTTGCTTTGATAAATAATTTTTTTCTGTAAAAAACTGTCGAAGAAATATGTGGAATTATTTTTTTACCGTCGATTCGTGGATTTTTCGTCGTACGTAGAACGATTGTTATTAATGGCGCTCTTCGATGCGTAGCTTGTGTTGGGTGTTGACTATTTGTTTTCGGAATGAATTCACTTGTACTGACGGAGTTTCGATGCTAAACGATTGAGAGACGAACTCAGAATGACGATTGTCGCTGTTGCGTTCAACGACTAATGCGGCCAATGCTCGAATACACGATACTAGCGCTATACCAATGTTCGTGGCAATTTTCGAATGTGCCATTGCTTGGTATCATTTACTGCGTTATCATTTCATACAATTTGAAAAATATATTGTACACGAATCACATTTACAAAAAGTTACCATTTAGACAATGATTTTGTAGATGTTCTATTTATCTTAGAAATTAATTGCAATCAATGGTTACAACATTTCAAATAGCTAAATCCGATTATTTATTTATATAGGTAAATCAGAATGTATGCACAATACTTTATTAAACAAGTTTAAAGCGAAACGTGTGAAATTTTCTTTTTTAAATGAATTTAAAAAAAAACATTAAATTTCGCTCTTGCAAAACTCCCAAATCTCAAGTCATTTTGATCATTTATTCAGAAAATTTCATTTTCTATAACAATGATCGGTCATTTTTAATAGTTTTATAGAATGAATTGCTATCGATAGATTTTCACTGAAAAATTTATAAAACAGCTCGATATCTGAAAAACTGAAGAAGTGGAGAAATAAATGACCTGAACGAAAGTTTATCATGTTGACTTTTTATTTAATTAGGAAAACTTATTCGAATTGTTGTTTTCCTAATACATTTCTCTCCACTTAAATCCGAATCATTTGTTATCGATCTGATGATAATTCAACACGCAACAAATTTTTCGTCGATTTTTGCATTTTTACTGTCATTGCTTCATTTAATCTTCATTAAGCATTTTGTACAAATATTATTGAATAATTCGTTATTTGACCATCAAGATAATAAAAATAATTTATCTTTTGAGAATCAAACGGATTTCTTATCCGTTTTCTTTATTTTTATTTTGGAATACCTTGATAGTCAAATAATATTGGCGGTAGTAAGAGTTTCGTCAAAATGACGCAGAAAATTGTCGATTAATGCAGTGCGACGACAAAAGATTCTTTTCACGCTTTTGAAGGAATTTGGTTCCATTTCATAGCCCCTACATTTAACATCATTGCCATGCTGAAACAAAAAAGTAACGAAATGCAACTAAATTGTGATTGGGATCATTTTTTGAAGCGACAAAAAAATGAAAGAAAAATTACATTTTTGCAATTGATGTTCAGTTGATTCAAATGCTTCCCTTGAAATAGTTCGCATTCAATGCCATTTTATCCCGATATTTGGGCCGAATAAACATTCATATCAATTTGTCGTGGATCGCAGTAAATCTTAACATCAACCAATCGATCTCCATTTGACGAGGCCAAGGGACATTATGTAGCATTATCGAGCAGTTGAACATGATCAATACCCAAATGATTGCTATTCGATCCGTAGGTAATCACACGAATTACATTTTCAATGAATGATTTCACCGAAATCTGTTCCTTTCGTGAAAAATTAATTACATTTCATTATTGAAATATTAAAAAGGGAACACATGTCAAAAAACGAATTATTTCATTGCATCGGCTTTATGCGTACTGCTTCAACGCACAATCCCAATCAACTAAAAATTCGAATTGTCGCAACGCATGTGTATGGCAATTCATACGAACGCATTAGAGTATTTATCTATGTTGCTTGTTGGGTTGACGTATTCGAATGCCACCTGACGGCTAAATAGACCAAGTTTCATATGAATTGATGTTTATTGTGCGTTGACGTTTACACGATGCAGCAAAAAAGTGACGCAAAACATTAAAATACCATCCGTATTATTACGTATAGAAATTTAATTTTTATCGCACCAATTGCGACCATTCCAAACAATTCGATTGAAAAAAATAGTTGATTTTGTTTTGAACGTGTGAACACCGTGAAAAAATGCCAAAAATAAAGAGAGAATCGCGCCAATTTATTGTGATTAATGAGGAAAAACTCATAAGTGAAGTACAAAACCGATCCATTCTGTATGACAAAGCATTGAAAGGTTACCGAAAGCCAGCAATCCGTGAAACGGCTTGGCAAGAAGTCGCAACAGCCTTGGAGAGCACTGGTAATTAATTGATTGTCAATTTGAAAAAAAATCCGTTTATTTCGAAAACAAAAATGACATTTTCAACGCTTTTAATTTTTTAGTCGATGAATGTAAGAAACGTTGGCGATCGCTACGTGATGCGTTCATGAAGCAGTATAAAATGTATTCGCGCGGTGATTCAAATACCAAAAAGCGATGGTTGTTTTACGAGCAAATGGAATTTTTGGCTCCGTATTTTGAGCAGTAAGTGAAATTCAGAAATTTGCTTTTATCTATTTCAATGTTGTTCACAATTGAAAAGAAATTTATTTATTTCATTGAATATTCAAATGTTCCAGTCCTGACGAGAAATTCGATGGCGCCGATTACATCGAAACGATAACAGCAGAATGCGAATCGGTCGATAAGAATAGCATAAACCAGCAAATGGTTTGTATAAACAGTGATGGCGAGTATCAAACTCAAATCGAAGTGGACGAATACAGTGAAGAACAATTGGAAGAAGAAGGTCTGGATTCATCACAATATATCACGGTGATCAATAAGAAGGGTGAAAATAGCAGCGTTCACTATATTAGCGCACCAAACAGTCATTCATCTGTGAACAACGACATCCAAAACCAAAGTCCACCGCGTCAACAGGGAAAAGTTCAAGCTCAAGCGCATACAGGCCGTGCATCAAATGACGATCCCGACGAACGATTCTTACTTAGTTGCTTGCCGGCGTTGAAACGTTTGCCAAACAAAAAAAATTCATTAGCAAAAGTGAAAATACAACAAATTCTTTTCGAGATTGAATTCGATGAATGCACAGGCGTTTAATATGTAGATCACTCACACACACATACAAATTTTCACACATTTTTCGTCGATTTTTGCTGTCATTGCTTTATTTAATCTTCATTAAGCATTTTGTACAAAAATTATTGAATAATTCGTTATTTGGCATTACAACAAGATAATAAAAATAATTTATCTTCTTATTGTAGAATCAAACGGGGATTTCTTTTCATTACATTTTCGTTTTCTTCATTTTTCTGGAAAGTCAAGCCACATTAGCGCTCGGTAATGGGAAGAATTTCGATCAGCATAGCATAGACCAGTAAATAGTTTGTATAAACAGTGATAGCGGGTATCAAATTGAAATCGAAGTGTACGAACACAGACTCCTCCATTGGAAGGTCGCCAATTGGTCTTGATTCAACAGAAAATTCTCGATTGATACAGTGCGACAACATTTGCTTCTTTTCACAGTTCTGGTTCCGTTTCATAGCCCATAATAATGTAGCATTTAACATCATGTCCAAACTCAAATATTTGCAGTTGATTGCATCCATGTAGACATACCTGGTTCAATTGTATAAAATTTGCATTGTTTCAATCATTTTCATTAAAAATATTTGAATGTGCTTAACAAAAATCGTTTACGAAGCATGCAAGAATAATTGCTAATTACAAACCAAAATCCAGGCTGAATTAAATAAACTTCCATATCGATAATATATGGACCATAAGACAAGTAATGTGTTCTTTTCAAAATATATAATCTCGACAAATTTGAAGAAATTTTAATGCGGGGATCCACTTTTGGCCCAAAAACGAAAATTTTGTATGAGACTTACCTCTGATATTACCAACTTCGGTAATTCGAAATAAATCCGTTTGTCACAAAACCTAACAGGCAACGCGCGCACATTAACGGAGTTCGTGTGTTACTGTGTATTGACGCGCATAGCGTTGAGGTTTCATATGGGTTAGATGAACTTTTACGCACTGTGATCCACAACATGCATTTATTACATATCTTTTACTTAAATTTAAATTCACGAGAAAACTGAATTAGTTTTGCGATACAAATAATTTTTGACATATTTTTATAAAAAAATTACTAAAAATGGGAATTTTTGTATGAAATCAATGCCTGTATGATATCGTAATGACGTGAAAATTTGCACTGGGTATTTTTTTTTTTCACAAAAAGCTAACATTCTGATGAAATTTCAATACAATTTAGGGCTGTGTACTCAGAATTTTGCTACATATTTTTTTTTTAAATTATGATTTCGGAGAGTTTGAAGAAATTTCAATAAAAAATAAGGGTACGATTTTTGGCTCACCCTCAATTGGAAGTACCCTCAATTTATATTGAATTTTCTCCAAACTTTCAGAATATTATTTTTTTGTGTAAGAAATAGTCTGCGCAAATCTTCACGTCATTACGGTAGCATGCATGTATGGCTCCCATACAAAAATTTTTGTGATTTTTTCAAAGAAACTGTATCAAAAATAAATTGTATAAAAGTACACATAGAGTATGACTGAACTCTTTTACTTTTCCGCACACCCACTGTGTGCAGTAAAGTATTGCAATCACCCCAAAATTTTGAAATCGGTATAAATCGTTTTTCTATGCGTTTTGGGTATAGAGAAGCACAGAGCAACGGTTTTTGGCCATGTTAATGTACACTGTACGCAAAAAATCAATAGGTAATTTGTTAGCACGATAACTTTTCTTAGAGAAAAGTAAATCCAAATCTGATTTTACAGGGTGGTTGGGGGTTGCGAGTAATAGGTTGGTATTGTTTTTGAGCGATATTCGTTCATCGGTGTATTCATGGTGACATCATGATGGTGTACCCATAAGGGGTATGGTATGCAAAAATTTGTTAATTCGATAAATCTTTCCCCAGAGACGTAAATTAAAGTTTGAAATGTGTACTGGGTTTTTTTTGGCACTATAAAACCAAATCCGGCGTTTGCTTTGAGATAAAATCAAGTTTTAACAGAGTTTTTTTGAAAAAATCACAAAAAATTTAATTTTTGTATGGGAGCCATGATTTTAGGCTGCCTTAATGACGTGAAACTTTGTACAGGCTATTTTTTACACAAGAAAATAACATTATGAAAGTTTGAAATAATTTCAATCAAAA